AGTGGCGACACTTTTGAGTTCAGAAAATAGCAAAACAGCGCACCCATTGATACAAGTGTCATTAAGGAATGCTGTGCGTGAGGTAAGCAAGGCGATGTCCTTCGGCTCAAAAATTTGATGAGGGTATCCATCTCGTGAAGGATGTTCTCTTCGGGTAACTGTTCCTGAACCGATGACATGCTCCTCCTTATGTGGGACGTAGGAGTCATCTATCAGCATGGACTAAAACCTAGTTAACATTCAAATGATTCCTAAAGGACTGGCGCACCTCGGGAGCCTCCCACAAGATGACAGCATGGGCGTCATTGACATGATCCATTGAATCGAAGTCTCAAACCTCCTCTCGACCCAAATCATCCTCTAGAACATCAGCGAGAGCAGCATGTTCAAATTCAACTACTGGCAGGTCAAGAGGCTCAGCAAACTCGACATCACTGAGTTCTCCCTCAGGATCAGGTACTTCCAGTAATGTAGTGCTGAGCCAGTGCACGTTTGGCGATTGGACACCACCTGAAAGGGTGATGGCAATCTCCAGCGCATCCTTGGCACGGGACGTGAAGCGAAGCGAAGAGGCTAATGGGTTCGCCCAGCGGGTTTGAAGTCTGAGTAACTGATTGTGGCGCTGCCTCAGCAAGACAGATATAAGTTCACCTGTCTATGCATTAAAAAAAATTCCTACAACAATAAGAAACCTACATCCTGGTGTGCGGAGTGCAAGCTTGAGTGCAGCAAGTTCCTCCCCAAAGAAACGACAAAGATTGTCTGCCTCGATACCGAGTCGCTTCTGTTCTTCTCGGCAGCGCTCACGTTTCAGAAGTGCACGGATTCCGTCTCTGACATCAGCATCTTCCAACCACTGAGGAACTTGTCCTGTCGATGGCATAATCCACACATCTTCCATTAGATTGGGATCACTACGTAGCTCTGCAAGCTTGGTCGGGAGAGGATTAGGTAAAGGAATCCCCCAAGAAGGGTCATATAACACTTCTAAGCGCTCACAGTAAGCATTAAACTTCCTGAGTGCAGTCAACAGAGTGGGTTGGCGTTTCACAATAGCTTTTCAGGTTTGTTGATGTAGTTTTGTGCCTAAACGACTATCAGTTGATAGCAAATCACAGGTATGAATGATTTACCTAACACCTGCTGAGCACCGCCAACTGCACAGTCAAGTTTATCCCACTCAAAAAAGCTTGTGATTGCCCGTTTGTGGATGTTCATTTTCAAGTCACACGCCATCAGAAGAAGCCGAACAAAGTCTAAATTGATGCCTTCTAGTTCAGGGAATTGGTCGTGAATATTGAGGGATGCATATAAAACTTCGACTTTGGCCATAAGACGATCGTGACCTCTCTCAAGAGCCTCGAGAGTGTCTTGCGAGGCAGTTCCTTTCTCAAGCATGAGCCTGGTGGATTGTAGTGCTGTATCAGAGGTATCAAGGTCAGCCTGTAGGGTCAATACAGTGTCTAACTCCTTTTTAAGGCGAGCAGGGGCGTCTATGAACAAACGTAACTTGTATCGTATTCAATATCAACTAAAAACACTTACGTGCACGGACTGACAGCTGCGAGCTTTGTTGCTGAGACCATTCTGACTCGAGATCATCAATAGCAAGCTCGCATTGATCCAGGGCCTCTTGGACAGCAGTTGCCTGGTCATTAACACCACACTTGAGGTGTCATCAAATCCAATCACCTAAGTCACTTTGCATTTCAGATCCTATAGCTGCAGCCTGACGGTCGATCAGCCAGAGATGGTGCTGACTCTGACGTTATGCAATAAGACTTGAATCAATGACAAGAATGAAGAAGGCGTACCGATGATGACCTCTCAACACCAATTAGGCGCACCAAGCGAGACCAGAGCCTCTCGGTTCCTTCTCCATCTGAAAGACCCAGCCCAATACACATGCGTGGGTTGTACACTAGCTGGCATGCCCACTCATGCCCATAGGCATGCATGGCAGTGGTTGCCAAGCACAAACGTGAGATGATACTGCCAGGGAGAATGTCATACTAAAGATGATGAGTGGATGAACCTAAATGGAGACCAGATGGACTTACCTTGCTAAGGGATCGGGCAAGGACACACCCGATGTCATACAAAGCTACAACCGTAGCATAAGGTGGGATCAATGAGAACAAATGTTCCAGGAGGGCCACCAAATATTTTTGCTGTTCTCCCGGAGAGTCGATATTAGCAAAAAAAAGAGGGATATCATGACGACATATGAGTGCCATGACGCCAGTATCATCAAAGCTATCCATTGCTGCCTTCTGTTTTTTCCCATCAGCTGCTTCGTATGCTGTTTCACATTGATCGATAGCCTCATCAGGAACGAGGGGTACAGCTGACTTGGCAGGCCTCTTACGTTGGGCCTCTATGTGGCGGCCAACATCATCAACATACTGTTTTGGAAGGAAATAAGTGGGGTCATAAAAGTGGGGGCAATCCCCTGCCGCACACCGATGGCGGTGGTGGAAGTTGCCATCTGTGGCAGTGTGAATGTCTCCTCCGTCAGCAGTAGGTTTCCCAAACATCGTCCCTCCAAAACATGCTGGACACCATTGGATAAGTATGGGTGCGCAGCGGCCTCTACGTAGGGTAGACAAAGGTGATGAGGTGGAGACGTGATCCTCTGTTTGAGGACGAAGGGTCGCCACCTGGTCACGGCTATTCTGCAGGGCTTCTTTGACTTGACGTTCTATTTGGACTTGAAGAATGTCGTACCATTGTACGGCATAGCCCAGGCCTCGACAAAAAGGATCCTGAATAATTTCCCCCTAGTGCAACAAATCAGTTTAAACATATGCCATAATGAATTACTTACTCGGGTGTCTGTCATGACAAAACCTCTGCGACAGTAGTGCGTTTTTAGAGCCGACACTAAGGCATTGATGGCATCACAGGACCGTTTGAAAAGTGCCCGATAGAATGATAGCAGTTCGATGGAGACAGCCATACGAGGTTGTGAGGGAGCGGTTGGAAATAGACCATGGTGAAGCAGCACTTGGGGAAGCATGGAGCATCTACAACTGAGGACATCGATAGACATAAATCCTGAATGGTGTTCATTTGTCAACATGGTGTAAAGTCGTAGATAAGAAACCTACTGTCAAAAAATAAACACGCGATTGATGTTCGCTTTTGAGGGCACGAAAGTGTTGCACATGCAGAGATAACCTTGGGAGTGATCTCCAGTGCTGTCGCTAGTGTTTGTGCCAAATATTTGAGATGAGGTTCGACAAGGAAGGGTATCAGTGTTTTCCAGCTGCTATACGACAAATCCGTAGCCTTGTCAGGCAAAATGCGACATTTGACTGGAGATTTTTCTACAAGTATGTCGGAAGGAGGTTCTGATGGGATTTCGAAGTCTGGATCAGGAATTTCGGCCAAAGCGTCAGTTTGACTGGTGTCAGAGACAGTTTCAACCGCATCTACAGCATGAACTTTACTCTGTTTGGGCTCGGGGTTGATCAGTTGCTGCATACGAGCTAGCAGTTGACGGTGTTTGGCTTGCGCGCCAGGTAACTCAACATGTTTCTGAGTTTTTTTCTTATCTCTGGGTTTCTTTGGGCTGACGAAATGGTGGCCTAGTCCAGAAGATACACATTGAGCTCCACAAGTAGGAGCAAAAGCACTGGTTGAGACCATGGTGAAAGGGAGAGTGTGAGGGAAAACTATGACTCACTAACACCTCAAACTTAGCGGGCAATATAGACATGGATTCCTGTGGCCCAAGAGCCCCCAGAGCATATAGATCACCCTGCTCGAGGCGTGCGAGGAATGCTGGAGGTGTGCAATAACGAAAGGAGGGTAGGTTCAGGTGCTGCGAGCACCTCGCAAGCCACGCCAGGAGGTGCTGGATGTAATGTAAGAGGCATGTTATTAATAGAATGGTGGGAGGGCGCACCTCAGAGGTAAGTTTCCCACAACATAGAAACCCTACCTCAAAGGTCTCTATTGATGCCGAGAAGTAATGCCTGAGGTGAACTCAACTTCATCGAATATTTCTGGGGGAAGTATAAGTCACACAGATGTGCCCCAGAGATGTTGGCACACACTTTTGACTGATAGAGACATCATAATTCTATATGTGGCCAAATTGCTGCCTTGTGAGAAATATATCTCACTCAGATTTAACTCAATCAAAAATTCCTCTTGTAGGATTATTGTACTTATCAAAAGGATCATTTCTACAAGACAAAATGAAAATCTGATTTTTTTCAAAGGGGGTGGGAAGCTTGCACAAAAGTAGTGGTGGCTGAGTGGTGCACACCATACTACAGCTGCTACCAATGACTACTGCTCACCAGTGCACTACTCACTGGGCAGGAACTTGGACATCCTTCCAAAGAAGTTTTCCACACACAGGCTTCAGACAGTGACTTTTAGAAGGTGGTAGGTGCGATGCTGGGTCCATGCCAGATGGGGGTGCACTGTATGCATTGATAAGGTTAGCAGTGTCATGGTAGCATGTACCTAGGTGATTTAAAAGTCAGCCAAAATACGCCACTTGGCCATATTTTTGCCACCAGACTGTGGATATATCCACCATAGTGCCGTACTACTCACCACACTGTTTTGCGCTGGAAGGGTGGTTTCAGTGACCTTCTGATTTACTTGGTTGAGAACTAGCTATAGCTAGTATTTGGTTTTCGTGGTCTTATGATCAATTTCAGTGCACTCTTGAGCCTCTTCGAAAGTATCACTCAGCTTCAACTATGTTACATCAGGAAAAACCCCCTTGTGATATCAGCGAAAATTCAATCAGATTTTACCAAAGGCAGAAAATCAAGTACCATTTTCTCAAATGCGCAAACATAAGATCCAATATTCAACAAATTTGACCAATGTGATAAATGGCCCACCAAATTCACAAAAATGAGAGAAAATTGTTTCGTACATTGGCAGTTCTAGTAGTCATTTTCGACCAATAATGTTATAGTATATGATTATACTAATTTACATATGCTGTGAGCCGCACATTGGACTTCCAACAGATGAGCCTTTCTTGCCTCCTTGCACCATCTGATCTTGGTGTCCCAATGATCTGCTATACTGATGTTGTGTACAACAGATGGGGAGGGATTTGTAGATGTGAGAAACAGCTTATGAAGGATCTGAAGTATGTACATGCATTATCTTTGGTGGTATGTGTATCATGTTTGCTTCAGTTGATGACAGTCATCTCAATTCATTTGCAGCCTGAAGGTCATATTGGTGGCATCCACGAGAACATCAGGAAGGCTGTGCAAGCACATGTTGCAAGCCACTATGGTCTTATGAAAGGTGCTGATGAGAGAGTCACAGACCTTCTCAAGAATAATGCTTATATATATCCTGCAAACACGAAGGTTCATTTGCCATGTATTCTATCTTGGAGCTGATTGTCTCATACATTACAGGGGGACCCTATCTGAACCAAACTGTTTCAATTGCCGGCAATTTTGAACACAATCAAGGATGCTTTCTTCAACGACAAGCTTGCAGTGGGAGTAAAGTGGCATGGTCATCTCACATCCACATTTGAAGATCATCCCGACAAGGCTGAGCTGCCTGTCGCAATGGTGGTGCTTGCTAGCACTGTGGTATGTTTTGTTTGCTGTGGGTATGTTATACATTGATGAATCACATAATTCAAGGTATGCTCTATCATCATGCAGTACTCCACAGATTTCAACTCAGAAATGTATGGCGGGATCTATTGAACGTTGGTCAGCGTGTTGAATGGCATCTTCAAAGCGAGCAAATGCAAATATCATGTATTCATGCACTCATTGTATAAGACAGTCTAGTGAGTTCTAAAGTTGTTGACACTGCTGGCTATCATCTGATTGCATATTGTAGTGGGTCGAAGCGCAAGACTGAGGAACCTGATGCAGCAGATAGTCTCATGTTCCTCGATATAGAGGGTATGGTGGAGGAATGATGAATATGGGTCATTCGTTTGTATTTTCTAGATTTGATATTCAATGCTATTTATTTGATGGTATGGGATCAATTGGACAACGGCCTGAAAATACTGTTCTTATTGTCGCGAATTGTTATGGTTCATCAGCTTACCCTTCACTTCGTCACCTTTGCACATTTCACTTATTCACAGAACTTCACAGAACATTCTACCTAATTCCATCGACATCACATCATACAACTCTTACTATGATTATTCCCATTGGACAATTACCATTCAGGCTCCTATTCTATATTGGAGCTCTGCTTTAACTCTTACTTATATAGTTAGTAGTTACACTGTATGTTTCTCTTTCTTGACCTTAGCAATCTACTCTTGTAAATCTACTGCTCGTAGTCTAGGGGGATTCATTGTTAACTGTAACACGAATTGAGATCCAATTGGCAAAAATCTTCAAGGGACTAAAATAATTTGTCGAATTGATGAATTTGTCGAATGCTCGCAGATTGACGCAAATTGGATCACATTGGATCCAATTTAAGAATGAGGATTTCCCTGATGTAGGTATTCCCCGTATCAAAGCTCGAAAATATGTTTTGATTCAGCGTTCATCGAGGAGCATGTTATTTTCATTGGCTGTCTGCCCAATGCATAGTTTGTTGTGTGGTCCATACCTGACACGCGCGGCGCGCTTAACTCGTAAAATTATTGCTGTGGTTACAAGGACTGTGTACAAAAGACGTGTATATGTCAGTAATAATGCATTTGAATTGTATATCCTAAAAATTATATGGCTCCCGCCGTCTGATGCACTTTGGTTGCGGTCTCTTCCATTCCCCTTTGTTTGGGTCTGGCCATAAGGAAGCACTGTCCCATTGGGTTCGATACGGTTCACCGGGAGCCGGGAAAAACCCAAAGGGCCAAGTGAGCAAGTAGCACATCTCCTACACAACGATGTCAGTCATTTTGTAAACAGCTTGACTGGATTACTACCTCAAAACCACAGGCCGGTCGGCACTTCGCCCACACGCTCCAGTCTAACCAGGATATTAACCGTCTCAAATCCTCCTTCCATTCGCCCATGAGGGTATGTATGTGATCGGCTTCAGGGCGTTGTTCCGGAGGATGAAGGGGGTCAACTCCAATAATTATTCCAGAAGCCCACATCTTCGTGGCGATGCGGCATATTTCATGCGTAGTTTCCTGCACCGCCTGCAGGAGCAAACGCTCAGAGGGCATCAATGTCGTTCCCCGAGCTACTATGGAGGCCGTGTGCGATGTAGCACATTCCCGAAAAACTGGCGCAGCCCACACATTTGTCGTGTTGGCAGTGACAGATGTATTGGGAGGTAGAGCTGAAAACACAGTGTAAGGCAAAAGCACGGTGCGCAGCCGTCTCTGAATTTGTTGTGCATGGTCAAAGATCGACCTGTCGTCCAGCGTCATGTTCAAAAGGTGCTGCATAAAATCCAGGCGGCTGGCATATCGATCAACCACCACCCGCAAGACCGTTTTCCAGTCAATACCGCTGGTTGTCACGGGTGATCGTGTTAATACTTGATCTAGCCTGTCTCGGACGTGTTCTATATCCTCCGATGATATTCCTCCCACCCGATGATCCCACCGCTCCAAGCCTACACGGCGCGGCACCAAGGAAGGAACGAGAGAGGTGTCGTAAAAAGAGACGAGCCCTGAAAAATCAAGGATAATTCGGGTCTCTCCTGGATAATTTTCGCGCCATGAAGTGGCATGCATTAATTCAAAAGCTTGATACACTAATGTCCGATAATCAATCAGACCTATTCCAAAACATGGATATGGTCGCTCACCGGTAGTGGGGTCCTCTGGCATATTCGTAGGGGGGCCGCTGCCGATGTGGGTGCTCTCGAGATTTAGGAACGAAACGACCTCCATGTGAGAGGTAAAGTCACAGATCATGATCTCACTATGATCGTCGTCAATAACATATTGCCAAGGAACTACATATAGGTTCGCACAAATTCATTTCCATCCTATAACTCACAAATCAGCATAGGGCATTGACGCATCTCAAAATCCAACGAACCTCACAAAGCCATTCAAACCATACTTTTGACCCCATTTACACAGATCCTTAATGCGCTGCTTTTCATTCCACACCCACTCGGGTTTCATTTTTGACCATGCCACGAGATCTTGAGTGTCCATAGTGCCCTCAAGGAGGTTCGCAGCGCTGCTTCCGTCAAAATAGAGCACTTTCATCGACCGAGTGACTGCAAGGGTGAGGTGCCAGCATCCTGTTTCAATTGGCCCTTTGGAGAACATTATGGAGTGATCTGGCTCCACAGCCACCCAATCCAAAGCGGTCGGTATACGGGGACTGGGGGCTCCATGGTAGAGGAGAGTGCCCACGGGAACAGTCCCTGGGACTATTGTATGACCTGCAGAACGTAAATGATCAGTTGTGACGTCTGCGTGGCGTTCGGTATTTTTAGATACCAATACGATACCGCGTGTTCGCCCAGTGTTGAAGCAGGGAATTGGCCGTTTCGAACACCAGATGTCCTGTCGCGTTCATCACAGGCGCTTTATGAAGATCCCATTGTCCAAGATCATCTTCGACCCCCGCCGGGCGAAAGGATGAAGACGTATGACTCAACAGAGGTGCCTGTGCAGCCAGCACCCGTTCAAAGACAAGAAAAAGCCAAACGGCTATGACTTTCCTTCCAGACAGCATTTCGAAAAAGAGTCAAGCCGCTCAAGGGCCTTTGTAAGTTTAGTTATATACTGGGCGCATTCATAAAGTTATGGTTTGATTCTCTTCATCGATATTATTCCAGTTGTTAAGGTATCATGTGACCTGCGGCAGAAGAAGCAGGGCGAGCGTCCATCAAATCAGACATCAGACCCATCTTATTGGCAAGAGTCGATTGAGTAATGTAACCTAGTCTGTAAATTTAAAATGACACAACAATCAAACATGCGATGGCAAGCTCAGCGATCCAGCTTCAGAAAACACAGGGCTTCGAGAGTAACCCAAACCTTGGAGTACGTCGATATTCACTTGATAATGACATATCAGTGACTGGCTTTAATGCAGATAGTATAGCGTCAAAGCATGGTGTGACATGAGGTACCATAAGAAGCATGACATGAAGTGTGGGATGATGTACGGGGATTATTTTAGGCAGTCCTGAATGAACTATATGAGCACAGAGCCATGGAGGATGATAGTCCAAGACATACTTGTGGTGCGAGGCTTTGATGGCTGCGACCTTGGCCTTCTTCTCAGCAACACGCTTTTGGATAAGGGCACTAAAGGAGATATTACTACGGCGGACCGGGTTTCGTGCAGACAATTATCACTTACTCGTATTCTGCCTTCTGCTCCTTCTGGCGGTCAATCCGGCGACGGTTGAGAGAACGGAGGTGACGGGCGCGTTGCAGACGGATGGGAGTGACCAATCTTTGGATTTTGGGTCTGGGCAGGGAGAAAACTTCAGCCCAGAAAACAAGCAAGGTGACTATACTGACGCCTTGGTGTAAGGTTTGGCGTTCTCCTTCTTCGAACTCTTCACCTCACGCCTCACAACGTACTTCCTGACATCGTCCTCCTTCGACAAGTTGAAGAACCTTCTGATCTTCGTTGCCCTTTTAGGACCAAGTCGCTTGGGCAGAACAGTGTCGGTGAGCCCAGGAATATCATTGTCGCCCTGTTTAACGATGACGACGGAGAGAACAGCAATGTCCGGGCCAACGATGCAACCACGGACAGATTTGCGCTTCCTCTCGCCTGAGCGGCTTGCACGATAGCAAGAGTGGTTGTCGGTCAAGAGAAGTCTGACACGGGAAGGGAGTAGGACGCCCTGCATCATGGGGAAACCTTGCTTGTCGTTACCACCAGTGATACGGAAAATGTAACCCTTCCATTCGTCTCCAAGGATGTCTGCCTCTACCTCTTGCGAGATCTTCTTGTCGAAGAAGATGCGGCTAGTTTCAAGTACATTGGTTAGTTTTCAAAGGAAGAGTTGTGCCAATCGTACAATCTTCTCTCATCGTCGATGTTGATAGTCTTTTGAGCCCCAGTGGCCGGGTCTGGATAGAATGTCAGTTCAGAGTGGTTTGAGCATATTGGACATCAAACGTACTGGCAATGTTGATCTTCATACTGCCCACGGAGAACTGTCAATACGAGCTCAAAAGTGATATCAACATTGATAATTCACCTTACGAAAGGGAAATAGGCCTTGTCACCGTGGGCTGCAGCGACGAGGAGGAGTCTTGATTTTGCTGGTTAGCCTGGGCCTAGTATTCAACAGTGGCAGATTCCGGCTTGTGGCTGAAGTGGAAAATAAGGTTTGCTACTATACAGCTGCTAAGCCACATACCAACTCGTCACGCGTCACATCGCCCTTCCGTGAACGCGTCCAACGACACTCCTCAAGACATCCTCTCCGTCAACAAAAATTGTGAGCGTTATGCGAGGTAGTATTGTTTAAAACTGACAAGATGGTACAGATTCATCATGGGTCGTATGCACGCTCCTGGCAAGGGCATTTGTGCGTAGCAAAAATGTCTTCTATTGATATATGGGATCTATCCTGATCATATTTATCAGCGTCCTCTGCCCTTCCTTACAAACGTTCCCCTCCTTCGTGGCTCAAGACTACTCCAGATGAAGTTGTCGAGCACATCATGAAATTGGCTCGCAAGGGTCTCACTCCCTCTCAAATCGGTGTTACCCTCCGTGACTCGCATGGTATCCCTCAAGTGCGCTTCGTCACTGGTAACAAAATCCTCCGTATCCTCAAATCCAACGGTGCGTGCTTCATCAACCAATCACTTCGCCAAACACTCACACACTGAACTGTCATCTGCCTCGTTGCCGTGCATTTCTGCTACTGCATCTTGTTTTGTACATGCCTTTTGTTTGGGGATAGGAGTGGCACCATCCATCCCAGAGGACCTTTGGCACCTCGTCAAAAAGGCGGTGGCCGTGCGCAAGCACCTTGAAGTCAACCGCAAAGACAAGGACTCCAAGTTCCGTCTTATCTTGATCGAGTCTCGTATTCACCGTCTTGCTCGCTACTACAAGACAAAGCAGCAGCTCCCTCCTACATTCAAGTATGACTCGGCTACTGCTTCTACTTTGATTGCGTGAACGGTAGTAGGCTTTGGCGGATAGTAGCTGTTGGGGCAGATTATATCTCTATTCTTGTCGTACAATCCCCCCACTGATATCATGCAAAAAATAGGCTTATGCAGAACTATGTGCAAATATCCGTTCTCGTGATCATCCCTATCACTCACCAGCTGTTACATTTCCGACCAGCTAGTCGACGAACGCTTGGCGGTATTCATCCCTGAGTGTTTTCAAACGCGGTTCTTCAATTGAATGTTGGCAGCCTATACAGTCTTGATGGAGCCGTCTTGTAGTGATGCGGCAGACTCATCATCCTGACCACGCGGCTTCAAGACAAAGCGGCCAGTATTGCAATGTTAATAATACTAAGTACACATACGTCAGTGGTTTAGTGGCGGTTCTGATAGGAGGACAGCGTTGGCGAGAGGGGCGATTGCAGGAATTTCCAGGCTATTTCCAGGAGTATTAACAACGATGGCAATTTGTGCTCTTGATCAGCTCGTAATTAGCCCTGACTACGCTGCTCTCTGGACGACATCCATCATCGTGACGTCAGTCTTAGCTGGTCAAATGGTCGATCATAGTCACATTCAACCCAAACAGTCTGCACAAGACGTATTGGTGAGTGTCATCAATACAATTCGTAGTTTTGTATGCACAGGTAGTATGCTTGACCACTTTGCAACAGGGTTTTGGAGAGTCTGGGAAGCCCATCTCCTTTGTAGAAGGAACGGATACGACTCCCCAAAGACTCAGTTAATTTGTGCGAGACGCCATGAAATGGTAAGGAATTCAAGATAAGAGTGTTGCTGTACGCATAAAGGATGTTAAGTAGAAGTCAAGTCCATTTAAGGCAGCTTAAGTAACGTGTTATTTTACTGATGAAGTGTGGGAATTGTCACGAAATCAATAGTTTGCTGATGCAGTCATCATGTATGGTTGAGTCCAACATGATTTGCAGGCCATTGTAGCACGATAACATCGAATTGATTTGTTTGAGGCAAACCATTAGCTTTGTTTACCACTTGATTTGGAGTGGAACTAGTCTGAGCTTTTCGTAGCTTGCAAACCTGCGCACTTCGAGTCACGGCGATTAGGAATTCGTCTTTCCTCTACAAAGCCAAGGACGACAGTGTGATAGCCCATAGCAGAGTTACGCCTTTCTCAGGTCTCCGTTCACTGATGCGCAACTGGGCAGAGTTGCCGACTACAGTTTGCTCAGGCCATCTGCAGTGTATGTAGTGATGCCGCAGTCCGGTTCTGAACTTCGGTTCTGACCTGAACCCTCCCGGACCGGACCGTGGGTTCGGTCCTGGGTTCGAAATAGTATAAGGACCGAACTGATTATTAAGTTCAGCGTTCGGCTGCTGCCTGAATACTGTGAACCCGTTCGAACCCGTTCGAACCCGTCTGAACGTGTTCTCATATTCTTTGCATGATCCACCAATATATCTGCTCTGATCTTCTGGCAACCGGCATGTCGATCGATCTCGGGACAATCAATAGCGGATCGGACTTCGCAGCCAAAACACCCAACACATTTCCATTGGCGAGATCTGACTTCCCTGGTAATCTACTCGATGTTCTGGTAAGCCTAATGTTAAACAAATGTTAATCTTTATTCAGACTTCAATGGTCTTTATTTTCAGAACATATTCTCAGGTTTCTCGTTCTGGTACTTCAAGCTTCAACACCAAGTAATTGCATGGCAACAGGATGTTCAAGGTGCGTCATTTTTTTGATCTCTTATCATAAAATTTGGAATAAATGAGCTACTTACTACAGGTTCAATCTTCACCCTCCTTGCTGCACAAATGTCGTGCGCACTTGGATCTGATGGCCAACTCAAGGATGCTAGTGCCATCGATTGGTACAATGATCCTGACGATGACACGCCCATGCTTCCTCCACCTCCACCTCCTGCATCCAATGGCAAGCTAACTGCCTTTGTGTCTCGCTCAGGCCGAGCTGTTAAACCGACAGAAAAAATCCGCGATGCTGGCAACACGACTCCAGCCAAACGAGTGGCTCCAGCGCCTCCCCAAGGACAGCCTGCACCCAAGCGAGTGCAACGTGGGTCCCGTCTGGTCCGTCACCATGATGACGATGACGACGAACCTCCTGCACTAGAGGATTGTTCAGATGATGAAGAAGAGGCCGAAGACAATGACGGGGAGGAAGCTTACGAGCGGACCAAGGTATTTGGAGACAAGGACCGTGAGGATCGCAAGCATAAGAAGAAAGAGGAGCGCAGTGGGGATTTGAAGGTAGTATTTACTCAGGAGAAGGGACGCATCAATCCGCACACCCAAGAACCCGAAGATGGCTGGTGGTGCGAGATATGCAGGTATGTTTTTACTTTTACTTTGAACGTCACACACATAACTAACTTTGTCAATTCAAGAGCCAATGATGTACCCACCAATCAGTGCTTTTTCAAAGGCAGTGTTTCGACTCGCCGCACCCATATCGCTCGAAATGCGAAGTGTCACTTTCCAATATACCGCGACCGCTGCAAAGAACGAGGTATCAAGATGCATGATCGGGCGATACCTCCTAACTGCAAAGCAACCGACGACTTGCAGAAAACGTTAGATGCCTCCCTCACGCCTAAAATTCCTGAATTCACCAAGACCGGTCTAATGGATTACATTGTTGAGCTTATCGTGTCTGAGGACGAGGTGAGTGTTTTTTTTTGTAATCGTGACTTAGGATGTTCATGCCATAGATAGGCATTCCAACTCGTTGACAAGGGACCCTTTCGCCGGCTCCTTCAATACCTCCGGCCTTCCCTTTCAGACAGGGATATTCCTCACCACACCAAAACTCGAGATGAAATTCTTGAACGGGCGCAGCTTGCCGTTCAACGTGTCAAGGAAAAACTTAAGCAAGTTGATAGCAAGATTTCGATCACGTTCGACTCATGGACCTCTGAACCTGGGGTACCTTTTCTCTCCGTCACCGCGCATTATATTGACTCCCCAGCTGGGAAACCTCATGAGTGGGAGTTGAAGACAGAGCAGCTTGCATTCACCATCATCAACGGCAATCACAGTGGGAGCAACATTGGACGAATCCTGATTGAAACTATCAATAACTATGGCATCCGCACTAAGGTTGGATGGTTTACAGCTGACAATGCTACCAACAACGACACAGCAATTCAGACCGTCGCGCTTGCTATCGACCCTTCCGGCAAGAAATGGATTGCTGGGGAACACCGTGTGCGGTAAGTGAACTATTTAATATCGTGATTTATATATATTGATGTCTACTATTCAGCTGTATGGAGCACGCCTTGCACTTAGCTGCGAAACACTTTGTCGAGGAGGTCGCACCCACACCAGCAAGCGTGCTCCTCAAGAACATGGCCGATGAAGATGACGATGATGAAACGACTGATTTCGAGGTTGCCGACACCGCAGGAAAAGCCCTCGCACTTGTTACGCAGATTCGGAAATCTCCCCAAGCACGCACTTTTTTTCAACAGTGTTGTGTCGAGGTCAATGAGCCGAAGCTTGAGCTTTTGAAATGGATTCGCACGCGATGGGCCTCACTCTTTGGTATGTTGGAGCGCACCCTTAAGCTACGCAAAGTAAGTTGGTTTCTATCCCTATGCCCAATACTAACTCAATTTGATCTGCCGCAGGGGGTGAATAGATTCATACAACTGGCGGATGACAGTGACGAAGTCCCAAACTTGCAGGGCAAGTCATATGGAGCATTCAAGCTTTCAGCCGAAGAATGGAAGAAGTTGGAATTGATGCACGACGTGCTTCAGGTATGTGCGAGTGTCCAGTCGAGTCTCAAATGTTGTATTAACCTACTGTATAACCAGGAACCTGCCAATGCACAACAATCGTTTTCGGCGACTCGTGAACCTACTGTATGGCGCGCAATTCCAGTCCTCGAGTATCTCCAACAAACTTGGCAAAACATGGCTAGTTCTTCGAAGTTTGACGACTTTTCATCCGCAATCAACTCTGGCCTCGACAATATTCGCAAATGGTACCACAAGATTGACGAAACTGATGTTTATTTTGTTTGCCTCGGTATGTGTTTTATTTACTATGATGCCCTATCTAATGCACAATGTAGCGCTTGATCCTAACTATAAGGTGGCATATGCGAAGGGTAAATGGGAGCCTCACGACTTCGACGAGGGCATGAGAAGCTTGCGGAAGGTTTTTGACAAATATTATCATCACAACTCCTCGCCCGCTGCTGCAGAGCCGTCTATTGCAGCTCCTGCCTCGCTTGCTCGCCATGGGTCATACGGCCATAGCTGGATGCGCGATGCTGTCAAAACTCGTGTCGCAAATGACACCGCAAATCGAAGACCTCGCCAGGAGCTTGACGACTACCTTGCTGCCCCATTAGAGGATGTTGAGAATATAGTGGCGTGGTGGGGTGTGAGTTTTTTCGCATCGCATTTCCTTGCAAGTTGACTCATTATGCCTTTAGCACCATTCCGTTCAATATCCCACCATCTCACGCATTGCAAAGGATTACCTCGCTATTCAAGGCTCTGCCGTTGCATCTGAACGAGCCTTTTCGAGTGGCGGCATCACTGGGACTGCGCGCCGTAATCGTTTGTTGCCAACAACATTCGAGGCCCTTCAGTTATTGAAGAGTGGGTACCGTCAAGGCCACATTTCTGCAACGGTTCAAGCTGAGTTTGCTGCTGCTCACGAACACTATGCCATGGACGAAATTTAGCTACTCATTTACGGTTCATGTATTTCTTGCAATTTTTGTCAAATTATATGTAGCGTTCGAGCGTTCGAACGCGTTCTGAACTTGAACCAAACGCTTGTGAACGCGTTCATAAGGGTCCGGTCCAGCGTTCGCCCTCCTTGCCTGAACGCGACCGATGGTCCAGTTCGGCGTTCGCATTTAGAGGCCTAAGAACCGAACCGAACCGGACTTCGGCACCACTAAGTGTATGTGATGACAGGCAGTACTTTTCGGTAGTATTACAGGTCTGTGAGATGGTAGGACTAATACTATCGTAGTAAGGCCGCGGACGCGCCAGTTCCCCAAGCTTCAAGGTCTACATTATAAAAAGCTGGGTCAAATGTCAGATATTATTATAACAGGTGTCGTTGGCGTCAGAAAATTCAACATATCAGGTGATGTCTGGATTCGGTAATTTTGGTGATGACATCGATGATCGCTACACAAACTTCCGACTGGTGGCATGTGTTCAACAACCTGCCACGTGATTTCTTTGACACTTGTTCTAACAGCTCAGATACGTTAATACCGCCGCCAGGGTCGATATAATAACCGGTGGCCACCTGGCAGCTTGTGGCTCCATCAATGATGAGTTCGATCAGAATCGATGATGATGAAACCAATGTCGTTGGCTTGCTGGTTAAACTACACTGGCAATGATCAGAAATTCGTCTGGTTTATCCTGCGAACTTTCCTGATGGACAGAGGTTCAAAAGGAAGCTCTCCACTTGCTGAAGTTCATCATAACTCTTCCTCATATGAGATAGCATCATGGTTTTTTCACAAGAGCACCCCCCTGTCGCACTGGTAGGCTTGTACCCGATCAATTCGGTGTTGCCTAACATTTTCGTTCATCAATTGGCAGGTCGGCATTTCTGCAGAGCTACCAAGCGGTCCTCGTGGAACAAGCAACCTTGACTACCCATCATTCTTTGACTTCCTCATGAACGAGTGCGAAGCCTACGAGAAAATCCCGGGCGATAGATTCAACATAGATGCGTGCGTCTGTCTCACTAACTTGCCACCGTTCAACCATTGACTTGATCCCTAGCATCAGTGAACCCGTGAGGAAAGTAGATAGCAATAAATAACAATATATAGTACATAATCGCAAGAACTAGCATAATTTTGCTATCGACAATCACATTGTTATGTTTGACCTTATAGAGGAAAGACGCGTCCCTGATTATCGTATAAAATGTTATGAAATGCCATAACGAAAGGGAGGTTCACAACTCCGAAGCATCAAATAATTGACGTGAAAATATAAAGCTTTACAATGCTTTATCTAATTGCAAAATTTACATGATATCTGCGAGAATGATACTACCTGGAGTAAGTTAGACAGAACTACCAAAAGCGCCAGCATGACAGATTGCCTACAACAACCTGTCATTTTGTCACCAGTACCAAATTATTCTCATCCTCAGCACTCGTTTTGTGAAGCAAATTAATTTTATTTATATTTAAATACTACATATGTAGTTACAGGACAAAAAGAAAACAGGAAAAGATAGCGGAGAGATGAATGAAAGGAGGGACCAAGGTCAGCAAGGAACCACGAAAAAAGGCCAGCAAGGAGCCACGAGGAAAGGAAAGGAAAGGACCACCATGAACGGCCAGAGGAAGGAACCATGAGGGAAGGACAGACCACCACGAACGGCCAGGAAGGAACCACGAGGAAAGGAAGGGCCATGAGGAAAGGAAGGGCCACCACGAACGGCCAGGAAGGAACCATGAGGAAAGGCCAGGGAGGAACCACCACGAACAGCCAGGCAGGAACCACCACGAACGGCCAAGGAGGTACCACAAGGAAAAGGCCAGGGAGGGACCACCACAAATGGGAGGAATGAAGATGCTGAGTCGAGAGGTGGTGGTAGTAGCGGTGAAAGAAGGATTGAAAGGAACTTGCGTGTAAATTTCCGTCCTGCGCAAACAATGACAAATCAATTTCAACCACTTGCGCTGGTCACATGATTTGAGGTTGTCCGAAAATTCTAAGGTAAAATTTGAGGCTGAGGTGATAGTCACGTGCATGATTTTGGATGACATTGTAATTCACGCAATATTTGAACCGATCTATATAGTTTTGTAAGTCAAAAATAAATGAGGTAATATGATGTTGCTCAACAAACGGTACCTAATTACACTATCATACCTCGCTGGTTGAAGCTCTCATAAGAATATAAATTAGGTTACAAGTGCTAACGGTTCTTTCCACGATAAAGTCTTATATCACTTGGTAGTTTAAAACATAAATGAGGGAACATGGCATGAGTCAACAAATATAACTTAACCATGCTATTGCATATTGATTGCTGCAACGGCGCAATGTTGTAATCTTGTTGCGAACTCCTCATGGTAAAATGAATTTTCAGAGATTCATGGCTATGTACCGATAACTAATATTTATTGCTGTATACATAGGTATATTCAGCCGTAGCAAAATGATATCATCTTATACTTCCCACGGCTACAAAATCAAGGACTCATGAATTCACTGATGTAACAGCTGGTGAGTGATAGGGATGATCACGAGAACGGATATTTGCACATAGTTCTGCATAAGCCTATTTTTTGCATGATATCAGTGGGGGGATTGTACGACAAGAATAGAGATATAATCTGCCCCAACAGCTACTCTTAAGGGAGTCAATATCGATGAAGTGGCTGCCACACATGGCACATTCTTGAAAGATTTAGATTTATTCGATCATATTGAATTCGGAATCAGCAGTAAGGACGCTAGGACGATGACGATTGGAACGCGAAAGCTCATTGAGCTGTCGTTCCTGGCCTTATTGGACTCTGGAATTGATTATCGAGGAAAGAACATTGGCGCTTACATGGCAAGTGTCGCCCATGACGTTTGGATGATTTCCGGCGAGGTTGGTTATACCTGTGTTATGTCTCACCAGCTCACCCCTAGTATCCCAGGATGAAACCTAAGCCCGTGGTTCATTGGCATATTTCCCTTCAATGATTGCCAATCGTGTGTCATACCACCTGGACCTACGTGGACCTTCCATTCCAACCGATACTGCATGTAGCTCCAGTCTTTCGGCCTTCCACCTTGCTGTTCAGGCTGTACGCAATGGAGAGTGCGACGCGGCGCTTGTGGGTGGTTGTCAGTTGAATCATAGGCAAGATTTATTTTAGCAGCATTTCTCAAAATTGAAGGTTGAAACGCTGCAACTTGCTAGGTTTATAGATTGGCTGGCATACAGTCAAGGTGGGATTCTCGCTCCAGATGGCAAATGCAAGCCTTTTGATGCCTCTGCTAATGGGTGAGGTGACTTGCAGATCTGTCCGACTCATTGATTAATAATCATTTTAAGATTTTCTCGAGGAGAGGGTGCCGTTGTGGTGGTCATAAAACCGCTTGACAAGGCTCTCCTCGATCATGATCACATCTATGCTACTGTGCGCTATCTCTTGATGATACATAGATTATCGTTCTCATTTTTCACAGATTCTAGGTACTGGCATCAATTCGTCCGGTTCACTCGCTCCTGCAAACTCCCCTGTAGCCTATGCTCAGAGAGATGCAATGCGGAGAGCCTTTAGACAAGCTAGCCGTCAGCCGCACGAAGTCGATTTCATCGAGCTTCATGCCACAGGCTAGTTCAAGAATCTAAGGTCCCCACTTTTACTGATGGTGTATGACCCTAGGAACTGCAATTGGCGATCCAACGGAAGCCAACTGGGTTGGAGAGAGCTTCTTGAAGAATGATAACAAAGAGCTCTATATAGGCAGTGTGAAAGGAAACATAGGGTATGTTGACGGTATCACAATAATCCACTTTTCTCATTTTCCTTCTGCCTAGTCACCTTGAGATTACAGCGTTTCTTGCCTCACTGTGCAAGGTTTGTTCCATGTTTCAGTCAGGAATTATCCCTCCCAATGTCAATCTCCTCAAACCTAATCCGGCTATTCACTGGGAGGACTGCCACCTTCGTGTCACCTTATCGCCAACCTCGTTACCTTGCCAATCCACTACTGGACGCTCGCTGATCTCGTTGGCGAGTTCCGGAATTGGCGGTGCCAATGGTCATTGTGTTGTTGAAGGTCCTCCCACAGCTGATCCTGTAGCGCCGTTCTGGCGGTTGGATGCCATTCAAGCTTCTTGTCTTTTGGTGGCGGGTGGCCTTTCTCCACGTTCCACAACAGCCGTAGGCGAGTCTATACGAGCCATAGATAGTGAAAAATTACCCTCTGTAGCAGCGGCATTCGGACGTCGATCCAGGTCCATGCCTTGGCGTTCTTATGCGGTTACTTAAAACGCTTCTTGGACCCGCACCAAGTGGCACCCCTCAAGGACCCCGAAAAATTTCAACCAAGCCTTTGCGCCCAACGGCGACAAAGACGTCCTCGACGTCCTCGGCGTCCCCCTCGCCCCTTCACATTCTCCATTTCCTCTTTCCTTTCTCTTTTTCTTTTCACTACTAGCTTCTAAACATATAAAATAAATCCCAAACAAAAACTACAAAACATGGCATTAACGCCACTCAACCATGCTAACCAAAACGTACCAGTAACTGCGACCACTAGAGGCCGAAAGACTACTGCAAACAAACCCCTCTTATCAATAAGTAAAGAAATAATAGATCATCTAACTGGCTCCGATGTCAGATCCGAAGTCAGAGACCAAACTGCAGCCAGAAAGTTACTCTTGACGCATGGACTCAATCTCCCCGTCGCTTGCAATGTTATCAAACAAACGGCCCACGCCCTACTAGAATTTAGCGTCACTGCGGCCCTAGGCGCAACACATGTCGACATTCTTCGAGCCATCGCAATCCTGCTTATCGAAGCGGAACAAAACCTTGACGCAGCGAAACTCATTGAAAAAGTCACAACCCTCATACAGGGTCCCATTGCACAGCTAGAAGAAAAAGCCGCGAAAATAGCTGAACTCACTGAGGCCCACAAAACGGCTCTAGAAAGTGCAGCCACAGAGCTACGTGGCAATCTCTCCAACTCGTCTGAATGCATTGAAAAGGCTGTCTTGAACGCTGCTACCGCGTCACAAGACCATCCGACTGCCACACGTCCTGAAGGGACAAGAACTTATGCATCCGCAGTCAGAACTAACGCTCCCCCCGCACTAACCAAAATATTAGCTCGTAGCGACGCACAAGCAAGACAAATCCTTATAGACAGACGCTCATTCGGCGAGATAGACACGCTAAGAGGCCTCACTGAAGCTGAGCTTGTGGCAAAAGCTAAACTAACACTCAAACTAGTAGAAAAAGACGGAGTCGTCATCCCCCCAGAACTAACCTTCCGATCAGCGCGACGCCTCCCACATGGAGGAATCCTATATGAACTCGACTCAGCCGAATCCGTCCTATGGTTCAATACCCCTGCTCACAGAGGAAAATTCGCGACCAACTTCGGATCCAACGCAACAGTCAAAGACCGATCCTTCAACATACTGGTCGAAAACATACCCATCTCCTACAACCCCAGCTCGATACACGCCAACACAGAAGTAGAAACAAAAGGAGGCCTCACGCAAGGGTCAATCACCAAAGCGAGATGGATCAAGCCAATCACTCGCCGGAAACCAGATCAACGGACAGCACACGCCATCATCACCCTCAAATCCAAAGAAAACGCCAACCAAATCCTCCGCTTCGGTATCTCGATTGAAGGCAAGAAAGTCTATGGACGCAAGCTACTACCAGAACCAACCCGCTGCCTCAAATGCCAGTCCTACGACGCACCCCACGTTGCAGCAGAATGTACCCAGGAACACGACACATGCGGAACATGCGGAGCACAACACCGCACGGCCGTTTGCAAAGTAGATGACCCCAACTACTATCAATGTGCTAACTGTGACTGCCAGGGCCACGCATCCTGGAGTCGAGAATGCCCCACCTTCATCAGCAAATGGGAAAACTTCAAGAACCACTCCGACGACGCCAAATATCGATACTTCCCAACTGACGACCCACTCACCTGGGAGGACTCAACAGGTAGCAACACTGAACAATGGAACGAACCCCCGAAGCAGACGCCATGGACGCAACCCGCCACAGACCTCAACACCCACGGGAACTACGGACGACTACTAACGAAGATACCACAGCCTCAGCGACAACAGCAACAGCAACAACAACAACAACAACAACGACCAGCCCAAAGACGCCCTCCTCGAGAAAACCCCAACCGCATCCCAGTGGGAATGGGCTCCCAAGCGCGACTGATGAGCAACTGGCTGAACTCTCAACCACAGACCCAGAACACGCCAAATGAACCTCCCCATCCTCCAATCCAAACGCCGCTAGGATCTACCGCCACAACACCCCTCTGGTTCCCGCCATCAACCCCAGACACCAACTTCGAAAGCCCCCCCTTCACCGGCTTTGAATAATGCAGGACAACCACACCGAACCACAACCCCACACCGACTTCAAAATCTGGCAACAAAATCTACGCAAATCCTCATCCGCATGGGAACATATGCTACAAAACCTCAACCCCAACACCTACGACCTCGCGTGCATCCAGGAACCTTTTCTCAACCAGGTAGGCCTCGCTAACGCCTCCAATCTCAGACGCTACTGGGACGTCATATACCCCACCAATCATCACTCGAACCCCGAACGATCGCAATCTATCTTACTCGTCAACAAGAAACTGTCCAAAAACAATTGGCACATCATCCCGCTCGACTCGTCCAACATCACCGCAATTGAATTGAACGGGAATTTTGGAAAGGTACGCATTTACAATATCTACAACGCTTGTGACCATTCCCGCACCCTCCAATTCCTCGAACGGCACATGATAGCCGAAAACGTCGCTCACGGCGACATCAGAACGGACAACACCCACATGGTCTGGATGGGAGACTTTAACCGTCACCATCCCATGTGGGAACCAACATGCAACTCCCACCTATTTACCGCAGCGAATCTAGACGCTGCGGACATACTTATTAATCTCCTAGCCGAATATGCACTCATACAGACCCTCCCTCACGGTATCGCCACCCTCGAAGCCTCAAACACGAAAAATCACACACGCCCGGACAACGTCTTCTGTTCCGCAGGCATTGAACATATGTTTACCAAATGCGCCGTAGAATACCAACTTCGCCCTGTAAAAACCGACCATTTCCCAATTATCAGCACCTTAGATCTCAAACCAGAACGCATCAATATCGAACAACGACCGAACTTCAGAGATGTAGAGTGGGACAAATTCAGAGAAGCTCTCGCATCCGAACTAGAAATGATTCCCGCTCCCACTAACATTCAGTCAATAGATGATTTCCAAACTCTCTTCAGCCACTTAACCCAATCCATTGCAAGATCTATCGAAGAACACGTCCCTAAGTCCAAACCATCACCCTACGTGAAGAGGTGGTGGACGAACGAACTAAGCACGGAACGCAAACAGGTACACAAGCTCGGCAAGAAGGCCAGAGACCAGCTAGCCCAGCGCCAGGACCCTATCCATGAGGAGTTTCGTACAGCCCGCAACCGCTTCTCCGAAAATATCAAGAAAGCCAAGAAGGAACACTGGGAAGAGTGGCTCGAAGCCATCACGCCAGCAAACATCTGGGACTTTCACCGCTACACGGCTAGTAACCCACAGGATCAAATGCACACGCGGATCAAGACACTGAAGGACCCTACCGACCCAAGAGGCACCAACGCAACTCAAGACAACGATAAGAAGAGCAAGCTACTGTATGATGTCTTCTTCAGGCAACCTCCCGAGGACGAGCACGTTGAGCCCGACTTTATCTACAACCCCCCCATCTGCGAGTTCGCACCCATAACTAACGAACAAATTCACCGAGCCATAGCCAAACTCTCCCCCTATAAGGCGCCAGGACCAAATGGCGTATGTAACTGTGTTTATAAGAACTGTGCTGACCTACTTGTACCATACATGGGCCCCATATTCCGCGCAACGTTTGAACTCGGACACTACCCAGAAGACTGGAAACTATCTTCGACAGTGGTACTCCGAAAACCCGGCAGACCAGACTACAGCCTGCCAAAGGCATACCGTCCTATCACGCTACTCGACACCATGGGTAAGATCCTCTCATCCTGCGTAGCTGACGACCTGGTTTATATTGCAGAACACCATAACCTCCTCCCCCCAACCCACTTCGGAGGACGGCCAGGCAAATCCACCACTGACTCGCTACACTTACTCACCAAATTCACGACGGACGCATGGGCCTCATCAGATCCTTTCGTTTCGATACTCTTCCTAGACGTTAAGGCGGCCTTTCCGAGTGTGGTTGTCAACCGTATGCTTCACAATATGCGACACGCCGGAATCCCGCTAGAATACATTGACTGGTACCGCAAACGACTCAACAACAGATCAACAACCCTCCATTTCGATGACTATCGCTCTGATCTATTCAATGTATCAAACGGAGTTGACCAAGGTTGCCCACTATCTGTGATAGGATTTCTTTTCTACAACTCGCCTGTCCTTCGAGTAGCTGACCCTAACCCGCGACGAGGAGAACTTAGTCTAGGTTTCATAGATGATATTGCCTTAGCAGCACGAGGAGCAAGCTACGAAGATGCCAACTGCAAACTCAAGAACATGATGGAGAAACCAGGGGGTGCTTTAGACTGGAGTAGAGACCACAATGCTGACTTCGAACTAGATAAAACGGCCCTACTGTGCTTATCGAGACGACGCATAGCAGACCCCACCCGACGCGGAAAGACCATCCCAATCCCTAAGCCACCCATCACCATTCGCAATCACACCATTCAGCCCTCAAGATCACACAAATTCTTAGGTATCATCGTTGACGACGAGCTAACATTCAAGGAACACGCTACCTATGCCTTAGCGAAAGGGACTCAGTACACAATGGCGTGTCAACGCATGACACGCGCAACGAAAGGAATCCACGGCCGACTACTTAAAAAGCTATACGAAGGAGTTGTCATCCCCAAGATGCTCTACGCCGCAGATATCTGGTGCTCCGGACTCGTCTCGAAAGGCAGAGGAAAGAAGAATGCAGGAAGGGGAGCGAGAGGCTTCGCCTCGAAAATGGCCAGAGTTCAACGAATGGCCACCACCATGATAACAGGGGGAATGAGAACCACCGCCACTGACCTCTTAGACGCACATGCTAACATACTCCCCTTTCAACAGCTACTCCGCAAAGTGTGCCACAGAGCCACCCTGTGCATGATCACCATGCCCAAGTCGCACCCCCTTCATAAGGGTATCCGCACAGCGTACAATTCGTGTACCAGAAGAGACTTCGCAAGCTGCAAAAGGCACCCATCACCTCTACACCGCCTACTCAACGAATTCCGCCTCAACCCGCACACGGTGGAAACCATCGAGCCGATACGACACTACCCCAAGTGGGCCCCGGACGTCACACAGGAAATCGCAGAGGATATAGCCACGGCAGTCAAAGACGACGAATACGCAGAAGAAGATCTCCGAGTATACTCGGATGGCTCAGCAGTGGACGGAGGAGTAGGAGGAGCAGCAGTACTGCTAAGGAACGGCGAGGTAGAAAGGACGAAGAGAGTGTACCTGGGAAGCGACCAGGAACACACGGTCTACGAGGGAGAGATGGTGGGGATGATACTGGCCATAGAGCTGTTGAAAGAGGAAGGAGGATCGGGATCCATGGCCCTCGGAGTAGACAACCAAGCGGCCATATGGGCCACCAAAGCCTTCGTCTCGAAACCTGGCCACTACCTCATGGACAAATTTCACGATGACCTGCGCAAACTCATACCCGCGCACGACGAACGCAAGCTAATAGTGCGGTGGACCCCAGGACATCATGGTATACCGGGCAACGAAGCGGCAGATGAACACGCCAAGATGGCAGCACGAGGAGATAACAGCGCACCGAACGAACTCCCAAAATCTCTCCTCACCCCGAGAACGAACACCCTGATGCCCCTCCCAATCAGCAAATCGGCACTGAAACAGCAATTCGGAACCATCATCAAAGAAGAATCGTCACAGATCATGAAGGACTCACCGCGATACAAGCGCCTCCATGAAATCGATGCAACAGCTCCCTCGAAACACTTCTCGCAACTGATTGCAAAACTCCCGCGACGACACTCCTCCCTTCTCTTTCAGCTCCGAACAGGACACGCCCCCCTGAACAAACACCTTCACCGCATTGCCAAAGCACCCAGTCCGATCTGTCAACAGTGCCGACAACGTGAGGAAACGGTCCATCACTTCATCATCACCTGCCCACAGTACACAAGACAACGACACACCCTTCAGATCGAACTCGGCCCGCAGACCAACCATCTTAAGAACCTGCTGAACAACCCAAAGTGCATTAAACCACTATTCCGCTTCATAGCGAGCACGCGCAGGATGGAACAGATATTCGGCGATGTCACCCCACCCGTAGACGAAGATGACGAAGAAGACTGAACAATCCTTCCCCCCATATATCGCCTTTAGCTGGCCTTATCCGACCTCGTGTTTCACCTGGTCCAATGATTGTACACCACCAAAACCGCATACAAATAGTATATTACAGTAAATACTCACAAGTTTTGTCTACCATAGGGCTATGCCCCAACGGACAATAAACGATGAACCAAAAAAAAAAAAAAAAAATGCGGTTACTTCATCGAATTCCCCTCGGTTCACTGAGCCGGTCCTCGCTCCCCGCACTCCTCCTCCACTCGTCTTTGTATTTTCGGGACAGGGTCCCCAACACTTTGAAAGTGAGACTTTCCAAGTATTCCATAATTTAATGTTGATTTTCGTCAGTGGGGAGAGAATTATTTAGCTCCTGCACTGTCTTCCAGAGGAGTATACTTGACATGGACAAGATACACGAGCTTGCAACTGGATTTTCACTCATCGCACAGACTGGTCTTTTCGCTCAACAAACTGGTTCCACAGAAGTCCTCGGCAATATCTGGCCTATTTCTGTGACTCTTCCTGCTCTAACCATGCTTCAAATTGCTACTTTCGACTCTCTTGTGAGTCTTGGGATGAAACCTACCGTGATCGTGGGCCACTCTGCAGGAGAGACTGCCCTATTATATGCATCTGGTGCAGGTTCTAAAGCCATGGCTGTGGAGCTTGCAATTGCACGTGCACGGGCCATGACAATCGTCGAAGGCTCTCAAGGCGCAATGTCGGCAGTTTCATGCTCCCCTGAACAGGCTCAGAAAATTATATCTCAGATATACACAGAACAGGGCAAGGCTGATTTAGATGTTGGCTGCTACAACACTCCTGACGCCATCACCCTATCGGGATCATCTACTGATATCGACCTCGCAGTCAAACACGCAAAGGCTGCAGGATTTCTCGCAAAGCGATTAAATACCGCTGTTCCCGTGCATTCCAGACTGATGGACGCCTGTCGTGACGAATTTATGCGGTTGGTAACAGAAATCTTCGATCGCTATCCTTCGCAGCCACCTCAAATCCCAACATATTCCACTGAATGCGGTATGCTGAAGCACGACCGGTTCAGTGCGGAATACTATTGGTCTGGTACACGTGGCCCAGTGCAATTTACGGGAGCAATCCATCATATAATTCGCGAAATAGGTTCTCCGGACTTCTTAGAAATAGGACCTCACCCAGCTCTCGCTAATTATCTCGTAGCTCTCGGCGGCGAGACAACGACTGTCGTCTGTCCTTTGCGCAGGCCCAAGGCCAATCAAGGAGACGTGATCGCTTTTCTTGAGGCTTTGGGCAAGCTTACAGTTGCTGGACATTGCTGTATCGACTTCGACATTCTCAATGGATGCGTCGTAGCAGATGCCCCAAAACTGCCTGCCTACCCCTTTTCCCGCAAGAAGCTCCCCTTGTACCCAATTTCTCCTTCCATCAAGAGAATTTGTCAGCCTCGTAACGGACCGTTAAATTATTCCCAGCTTCGTATTAACGCCCAGACACACCCTTACCTGGCTCAACATGTGATTCAACGCGAGCCCATCATGCCCGCTGCAGGTTTTCTTGAAATGGTAAGTGCTCACTTGCGAATTCTGAGGATAATGTACTCAGCCTATGTTTTCCAGGCATTGGAATTTGGCGCAAGCCAATTGTGGGATGTCAAATTCTTATTCATGCTATCTTTATCTGGAGATCAACCTGTGCCAGTTGATATATGCACTGAAGGTCCTCGTTGGTCAGTACGTTCTGCTCTAGTAAATCCATCACAATCGTCCGGTCCACCGCTCCAAGTACGTGAAACTTTCCCATTCTTCGCCCTATAACTCACGAACGATTAGTATGATCGTTTGCATGCTGAGGGCTACCTATCTCTTGATTCTCCAACTCCAGCCTTACCCGCCGTGGACATTCAGGCAGTAAAGGAACGCTGCACGCAAGTTAGCGTAGAAGGTCCGTTATAAAAATTGCTGTGGGCTTTGTCACTCACCGCACTATCACAGGCTTCTATGATGGGCTCGAGCACTTCGCTCAATATGGACCAGATTACCAAAGGGTATTGGATTGCTACCGGGGGACTAACAAAGGGCACGACGAAGCTTTAGTACAAATTCGTGGTGACGTCGGGGACCTCCCCAGGTATGATGATTCCTTTTGTTTTGGCGAGATGTTTATGCGACAAAAATAATAGGCTGGAGATGTTCAAGATCCATCCCGTCATCTTCGACTCCGCGATACATATCCTGGTCCATCCGATTTTTACCCATCTCACCGACAAAACCTTGTATTATCTTCCTTCTCGTCTGCAAAAACTGATAATCTACGAAACACTTACTACGTCCCCATTCCCGCGGTCTCTCTATGCTCATGTTGTTTTTCGCCAGTGGACACCTCGTGAGTCTGTTTATCATCGAAATTTCTATCGGTGACTTATTGTAAAGCAGAGTCCCTGGTATATGATGTCGCCCTTCTGAATGAAGACGGAAATCATCTGTGCACGATGCAATCATTCGAAGTCACCCTCCATGGGGAGTCCTCTCTATACGAGCCGAGATGTCGATTCGATTTAGTGCATGAGCCCATCACACTCGACCTGTCTTCATGCCGTTACCCGACCCCGGAAGAACTTACAGCAGATGACCAAACCAGAAATAGCTCAATGGACCTAGTGGCCACAGATGCTGGAACTTCCTCCTCGTTGTCATTGCTTAACGTTATTACTTACGAGCATGGAAAAGAGATGGAACTTCAGCCGTTATTATCTGCACGGGACGCCACCGTTCCGTACTCCATCTATTTTACGGCACACGCTGGTCGTGACGGGGATGGGGCTGTCGGATTCGTGCGATCCTTACGGAAGGAATATCTTTTGTGGACAATTTGGGTTGTAGTGTTCGACTCGGTTTGGGACGATGAAAGCATAAGGCGGGCAGTTCAGTTTATATCTAAGATGTCTCAGGTGGAGACCGAGCTTGTGGTGGACGCATCCGGATTGGTACATGTCCCAAGAATAACACCTTGCGAGGGTCCGACAAAGGTCTCTCCTTTCAACTTCCACCAACCATGGCAGCTCGATAATTCTGCAGTTGTTCATGTATCCCCTCCCCCTTCGGATTGTCATTCGGCCGTCGTGCATGTGCAAAGTGTTGACCGATCAGACGATCAGATATGGACTTTCGTTGGCTCCTTGGGCAGCTCGCACAAAGGTGTCATGGGGATATCGGCTTCACCTGTTGGAAATGTCATCGTATCACCACTGGATAGCATGGTGGATGCTCCTGTGGCGCTGGATGCTGACGCATCTATGGGACCTCCTGTTCTCGCCTTTGCCGTATCAGTCCTTGCCGTTGGTTCTGCATATTTTGAGAACCCGGGAAGATTCCGTGGAGAGATCCTTGTGACACATGCAGATACTCAGACTAGCATGCTGGTTGTTCAACTCTACGTTCTCCAAGGCTTTCGCGTCACTACTCTAACGCAACATGCAACGGACTCCGAAATTAGCTGCCTTCCTGATGGTCATTTCAGTATCATCGTCTCTGAATACAAAGACACGGCAACACTTCACCTCTTATCACACCTCTTGACGGCTAACGGGAGGATGTTTCCATGGAAGCATCCTAAAAAAGGCTTGCAGTCTCTGCTCGCCTGCGACCCATGGTTGATTGGCCACGCTATTCGTCTTGGATCAAATATAGCCGGCAACGAACTCAAGATTCCTATGTGCAACCTCAGCGAGATCATAACTGTTACGCCTGGTGATTCTGTCCATGTGAAGAAAGATATCTTCAGCGACAAGAAGACATATCTACTGGTGGGAGGTCTCGGCAGCCTTGGACTTCAGATTGCACAGTGGATGTACAAGGTTAGGATATTCCTTTTCACCTTGATCGTGCTAACTCGACCAATTAGAATGGGGCTCGGCAAATCGTTCTAACCTCGCGATCCGGGCGCGCCGGAATTCAGCGCAGGGGTGACATTGCATCTCTGCGCATCATCGCATATCTCGAGAGCCTGCCTGATTTAAATCTGCGCATCGAGGCAATCAATGCCCTCTGCGAGCCTGGCATGAAAGCGTTGGTGGAACAACTTCAGAGTCCACTCGGGGGATGCATGTTACTCTCCGTGGTCTTGGCGGATGGTCTCTTTTCTGGGCTATCCGCTGAGAACTTCGATGCGCCCTTCGATCCTAAGATTAGAGCCTTGGAGGTGCTATGTCACACAATTAACATGAACAAGCTGGATTTCTTGATTTCATTCTCCTCAGTGTCGGCACTATTCGGGAATGCAGGTCAAACTAATTATGCTGCGTACGTCTCTTGAGCTGTGCGCGTAAATTGACTGCTCACGTTCCTCAGGGCAAACACTATGTTGGACGGCAGACTGCGCACAATGTCACACGCATTCTCTATCGTAACTCCTGCAGTCACAGACTCATTCGTCGCTACATCGGGCACGACAAAGTTCAAACACTTGACGGATTGGGGGATGTCATCTCAGAGTGAGTTGCCCTCTGTCCAGACCGCGAAAAATGACATCATATTCTATTAGGGATCTTCCAATTCATCGAGGAAGGCATTCAAAAACTTGCTGATGGTCCTTCCTCATTTTACATTCCGGATTTCGACTGGGAAGCGGTCTGCGTGAACCTTGGAAACTCTCCTATGTATAGTCACTTGTTACCCGAGCGAACGATTATGGAAGACGGAGCATCAACTTCAAAAGACAGTGTTTCGATAGGCGACATATTGTGCGCCACCCTGGACATTGCGCGCGAAGATTTATCTCCCGATGTCCCTTTAACGGTGTATGGTCTGGATTCCTTATCTGCTGCAAGGCTATCATTCGCCTTGAATCCCTTTTTTTCTATCAGCCAAACCCAGCTCCTTGCGAACGTGACCCTTCGGAGCCTAGAAGCGCGATTAGATGACCAGCGGCTGTCTGCACTCACCGAAGTGGAGCAGAGGAGCGCATCTGAGCTTTACCAGGTATCTGAGATGAGGTCATTGGTTGCAAAGTACACGTCTGGATTCAAAAGCCCCAAGACACTGCTACCTTCCTCTCTCAGTTCACGGGACTGCGTTGTTCTCATAACCGGTACCACAGGAGTTGTGGGCGCACACCTTCTTGAATGCTTACTCCATGCACCACAAATCACTCGCATATTTCTTCTCAATCGTACCAAGCCCGGAGCTCCGACTATGTTGGAACGTCACCAAGATATTTTCCAGGCACAGTCCCTGGACTTGACGGGACTGGAAACAGAAAAGGTCGTATATTTGGAGGGCACTCTAGACAACGATTACTTTGGGCTGTCAACTGACATGTTCAATGAAGTAAGCACTGGCTTTTTAAGACGAATTAGTGAGATTCATCTTGTTCTAGATGGCTCGAAGCGTCACCCACATTGTTCACGTTGGTAAGGAACTCCTTACTTCCTGTTGCTTTCGTACTGAGAAACTTGTAGCATGGCCAATGGACTTCATCATTCCCCTCGCTGCATTTGATCACGCTATTCACGGTCTGCGGAACTTGGTGGACTTCGCCATTTCCTCGCCCTGGCAAGTTCCGCCTCAATTGCTTTTCACAAGCACAGTCGGTGTATTAACTGGTGAAGTACTTTACGTAATTTAACATGTACCATATCCCTGACGTTTTGGCAGGTCTCACATCGTCGAGCACTGTAGAAGAGGCTCTTATAAATGACCCTAGTATATCTGTGGGCGCGGGATACATCGAAAGCAAATGGGTCGCAGAGCACGTATTGGCGGCGGCAGCTGATGCTACACGACTGAAGCCAACGATTGTTCGCCTGGGGCAACTAACTGGGGGGCGCAAGGGTTACTGGAAAGTAACGGAATGGATACCATCCATGATCAAATCAGGCCTCTCTCTCGGTGTCTTACCTAACCGTGCCAATGTGAGTTTAGTTTTCTGCATTATCATCCGACTATCACTGATTGGTGACCTATGTAGCCTGTAATTTGGCTTCCAGTTGATGTGGCGGCAACATCTATGGTGGAAATGCTTGATTCACCCCCTGGCGTGTATCACTTGGCACATCCAAGTCCTGTTTCATGGACTATTCCGATGCAGGAAGCTGCTCGCATCATGAACGTTCCATTGGTCCCCTATACGCAATGGCTCGCTTCTTTGGAGAAACAGGCGTCATCACAAACAGGCGAATATTTGCAAAAAAATCCTGCGCTGAGGTTGCTTGACTTTTTCAAGTATACCATGCGGAGAAGGAATACGAACACCGAGAACTTCTTAGAGCCGCAGCTCTCGTGCGCCAAGGCATTGCAGGAGTCTCCGACACTACGATCCATGGCCTCAAACCCACTGGGAACTAAGGATGTAGCTAAATGGATCGGGTACTGGCGCAGCGTTGGCTTTATTCCTGTTTGATTAGAAATCGGCGCCTTCCTCGTGCAAACGTCAAAGGTAGATATGTTTATTCACACACCCGCGTGTAGCCGCATCAGCGAACATAACTATGTAATATGCTATAAGAAATTTGGGCTGTAGCTTTCAAACTGTTTGTACTAAGTACTATATGCTACTTACTAATAGTATCGCTTCAAGAAAGTTCGAGGGCAGTAGTAAAATAGCTGTCATGATTAATAATTATGATGTGTTTGAGCCACTAAGAAAATCATGAACGACTCGGATGCTACATTGACCAGCCCGGGCACTTGAAGCATCTTGATTCTTGAACGTTTGAACCTTGACAGTGCTCCCACTTTTGCCTGACTGTCAGGTGCTTCACAGATGTCCGCGAGAAGTACATATTCCTCCAATTCGACTGTTCCGCGCAATCCCTTTTCTACACGAACAGTTAGGCCAGAAAATTCGACTGTTCCGCGCAATCCCTTTTCTACACGAACAGTTAGGCCAGAAAATTCGCCGCTTCTGAATACTTATGACACTATGATCAAATACTAGTGGATGTAAGATCTAAGGATCAAATTCAGCGTCTCATCAACGTCGCCGCCACGTTTCGAGACTTTAATTTACCATCCTTACCACGCGCAGCAGTCCAGACCTGTATGATCTACATTGGCACGAATGATGAGTTCTTTTCATCATGAATTCTTTCCGCAGACAATCAGGAGTCCCCACTGTGGACTTATTTGATCTCAAGTGTACTAGTAGTAATATCGTGCGGGAAAATTTGCTGAGATTGTACAAACTGCAAAAAACTTTGGACGCACGAGTTCCATGATGATACAAATACATAATCTGATCTTGAACACCGTGTAGTAGTATACTACGTAGCTGAACGCTGGTAAAGCGTACGTAGGAATTTATAGGTATATACGACTAAGTATAATGTATGGTAGCAGCAACATTATCATAACATGAGATAATGTACAAGAAATCACTGTTTCCCTCCTTAGTGTCTCTGAGACCTTCTGGGCGCGGCAACGGGTTGAGGAGCTGGTGGGAATTGGGGGGGTATGTACATAGCGTGTCTGCCCCTCTCGGCGTCAGCCATCAAACGAAGTTCCTCCATCGCCGCCGCGTGATGTCTGGCTTGAACGGCCTGAATGCGTTGCGCCTCCCTGATGTCTGCTTGACGCCTCAACTCAGCGTGGGCGAGTCGTGCCCGCAGCATTCGCTCCTGAAACTGTGCTTGAGCCTGGGCACGTTGAGCGAGCGCCACTCGCTGGCGGGCTTGGGCCTCTAACATCTGTTGCTGAGCTTGGGCATTTAACATATTTCCTGGGTAGCCTGCATAGTGTAAGCCATAAGCGGGTACCGCATACGCGTTCGGTACTGGACCATGCGCATTCGGTAAGGCCGGTAATGGCGGCAAGGCCCATGCAGCGTTCATGGGCTGAAGTGGATGCATATCGGGCACTGGCTGAGCCGGACCGGCAATTGGTAAATCTATCTTGATGTTACTCTCATCAACGTCAGGGTGATCGCGCTTGACCTCTTCCATCGCCTTCTTAGCTGCTTCTTGAACCTGGACAGATAGGGTGCCGTCAACAAAATTGTTCCATGATAATCAGCCGAACCTGATACCTCAGTCGCATGCCGCTGTTCTACCGGATCCCATAGCAGGCATTTGTTCTTATTAAAATGTTCGTATCCATTAATGATCTCCCGGCATATATAGCATGATACAGTTCGACAATTTGGACAGGTCATTTTGTTACACTGAGGTGCACGGTGAGCATGTGGTCTCACGTCGAAGGGGAAAAAAAGGCTTACACCATGTTCTTTTATGAATGCTGTGTGTAACTGTGATTAGAGCTACCGATTGAAATAGTTTGTAAGAACGTACCTTTCTGGCACTTCGGACAGTTTCGCATCAGTGCACGAGCTGAAAAATATTGTCAAAACAAGTCACTAATGATCATCATGCGAACGTACTCATTGCTTCCTCAATAACGTGCTGCACGTCAAGGTGTTTGTCTGATTCTACTTCTGGAGGACATTATAAGTGAAACAGTCAATGGATACAGAATCGAAGTTACCCTTGCAGCTCTTCGGTAAATGGTCCTATTCAAATGATGAAAATTAGACCCTCTTCTGCATGAAGGTTTGGATACGTACAGGCTTCTTACATTCTCGACAGCTCACCGCACCGCAGTCCGCATTCTCACACCGAAAAAGCTTCTCCATCTCGTTCTCGATCACGCATTTATAATCGCAAAAAGGGCATTCTTCCAAGTTCTCAAGGCCGGCGGCCTCAATGTCCTTGCGCTGCCTTACGCGATGATACAGCTCAAGCAGCTTCGGTGTGAGGAAACGTTCCAGCTCGGACTGCGGAAAGAGAAGTTTGCATCCGGACTGATCCATACAAACGATATTGGGATTGTGCTCGCCCAAAAGGTTGGATGCGTAGGAAGACATGCAACCTTTGCAGAATAGATGTGCTTCCGGACACTGGACCATTTTGTCCTACTCACGAAGTTAGATGATGGTTGCGAGGAGAACGAGGAAAGCAACAAACAAATGGGTACGAGGAGAAGCAGCAACCGCATTCAATACCGTCTTCACATTCTTCACATGCATCATTGTCATTTGTTTGATCAGGAAGCGGCTGTACATCAGCTGACACAGGTGCATCCTGTCGCTGCAGAAGCCATCGTCGCTCTGCCTCGAATTCGGGGTCGTGCTTCTCTCTCCCCTTTCCACTAACTCTTGACGGAATAGATTTCGGAACATAAGGTGGAGGATCCCGCTTCTCAGCCAAAAACAAATGAGTTGGAGCATAAAATCGACGTTTTAGTAGGAGCGTTCGGAGATACGGCTTCGGCGCGTATGGAAAGTCGACCATAAGCTGTTCCTACTAAGGGATCAGGATAATGTATCATACAAAGAGAAAAGTTACATACCAAAGCCAGCTCGAAGTAATGTATGCCCCCCTTAAATTCTCTGTCTGTCATGCCAAAATCAATCTTAGGAACAGGTTGCCCACGAGCAGCGCCTTCCTCGTCATCTTCGAGCTTTTTCCGTTTCCCCTTCCTATCGACTTTAGGGTAATTTGGGTCCTCGAAAAGAGAATGGAGAACAAGCTCTAGGACGTTCTGTCCGGCATTGACTGGGTTATGGATGAATTGCTCCGCAAGCCCGAGAACATGTGCGGGTTCTACATCTGGGACAATCTCAACGACACGAGCAACACACGTGTCAGTTGAAACCTGGGCCTCCACCGGTGTTTCAGAGGGTTGGGAGGGTTGAGGAAGTGGCGCGAGTGGAAGCACTGGTACTGGAGGGATATCTAGTTGTTGCATCAGCATCGGTATCTGTTGTAACTCTGCATCCTCATCATCTGAATAAAACAGCGGAGCGGAAGCGACTCTGTCTTTGCGAAGATGTTTCTGAGATGATCCGGCAGCCGGCATAGCCGCACCCTCAAGCAAGCCATCAAGAGGCGCCCCGATAACCGGCAAGTTCGAAGGACCTGCTACTGCATGTGTTTCGACTGAGCGCCTCTTTTCCAGGGACATCGGTTTATGCTCGGGTTCACTATCAGAGTCTGTTATTTCGATGATTTCTTCTGCCCATAGACTTGGTGCTGGTGGCGGTAGTGTCCTTCGCTTTTGCGACCGAGGCTGCTGACTTTGAACACGAGTTACTCTGGATGTCGTAGGAAGTAGTTCAGGGGAAGAAGGGATGTCAATGACCTCCATGGCGGTTGGACTTTAAGTGCGAGGAGCCACAACTGGCAAGTCAGTCGGGTTTTGCATTTATGTCTGAGCATAAAAATATCCACAAAATTACATATTGTCGTAAAAGGCAATTAAATTGCTACATTGTGGATTGTTCAGGAAACTCAGTTGTTGACTAAGCCACGCGCTACCACTACGGGTGAGAAGCTCCACTGGCAGATGTGATGGTGATATTGAATATCACCCTGACAGCACACCTTGATGGTAGTACCCAAGTATGCGTGTTCGAAATACAGGCATTGTCGATTCAATGGTTCTCAGGTAAGTTTATCTTGTTCCGCCACATTGATAGCGCCAAAGCGTCATTGCGCCGCAGGGACGCTCAATGGTCATGAACAAAGCAGCATCAATGTGGACCAACGTTGCGGTCATTCCCGGTAGCGTCTCCTAGGCGATTTCTCGTCCAGCGCGAATATTCGGATGTGGAGACCTAACTATTCCAGTAACTCGCTCGTACCACCTCACCGTGTGGCGAGGAAAGCTCCCGTAACAGGATCTTCTCTCCCCAAGGCCACGCACCCCATTCCTGGAGCTCATTATAGACGCCTGCAAAACATGAGGATATGCATGCTTTTCCAGGTTCAATATTCATTCTTTGTTTAATGTTGCTCCGTAGCGTCATCGTGCGAATGCCACCAGCAAGACAAGGTATTCAAACAGCCACCACCACCTCGCCAGCAGTGCCGCACTTCTTTGAATCTGGTGTCCCGGATAGCCCCCCAACTTGATCGGGGTCGTCAATTTCACGGGAGGAAAAAGTCCCGCCAACAGACATACAAATACCAGCGCTGCCGCCGCGTCGAACATATTTCGGAGACTAGTTGCTTGATGACTCTGACCAGATACTTCCTGCGTCTCTCATGCACTTGACAAGCCTGTTTGCAGGCCCAGTCACTTCCTGCTCCCATTAGGTTTCTTCTCCGTCAACTGAGCTTGAATGATTTCCTTTACTGTGTAACAGAAGTGCGGAGTTTTTCGACGCTAACATAAGGCTCCACATGGAATCACCCTCGTGTGACCGGCCTGCTCCACCAATCAAGGATCACGCTTGCGCTTACGCTTTCGTTCCTTCCTTTGCTAGACTCAAAGCTCAAAACTATTATTGCAGGCCATTCAGACATGTCTCGTACCGGTATCACCCGCAGGTGCAAACCCAAGGATACATCAAAGACACTGCAAGGCATTGTCAAGCGTGATCATATGGATCTTGTTTGCAATAGTATTGGCAAGATCTATTCCTTTAGTGGCACATTTAGCAGGCGATCAGGTAACACATCATTTGCATGACGGCAGTCCTGCCACCTCTAGCTTTGCTCGTACGTGCCATGTGGCACTACGGGAGATTGGATAACAAATGTGGCTGTCGGGTTTGATAAGAACACCGAGGACATACCAGCACCACCTGATATATTCGAGCTCGGACCGATCAATCAGCGCCATAATGTCATGGACGCCCGAGCCAGTTGCTCGAAAACGGATAGTGGAATACAGCAATTATGATCTAGAACTGTGATGATATCAGCAACGAGCCTGACTTTGGCTCACACACGACTCAGGGGGTAACAACAGGGCGATACTGCTCAAGCGGATGCAGATACAATCCCATCATCAGCGTCCTATGGTCTATGGTAGCGTCGCAGATCTTGGCAAGTTTTGGGTCTCGGCTGCACCACTGCTGCTGATCCAGGAACATTGTTCGGACAAGTTTGCGTACAGGAGGCCTAGGAGGCTCCAATGGCTGTCCGTCGACTGCCACTGCGGCTGACTATCTTCAACCAATCTAAAAGGTTGGCTTTGCTGGCGTAACATCCTGTGTTTTGGCTTTCATGGCGGACTTAGATGGAGACTTCTGTGGCGGGGTAGAAGGGTGAGTACGGTGTTTCGAAGGCGTCCCAGGAGAATTCATTTCTTGTAGCTGAGATTTGATGCGGCCGGCGACTATATCACATTCCTTGTCGAGGGCCTTTACGACAGATTTGAACGCAGGACGCCATAGTTTTGACAAAGTGACGCGAGCAAGGGGATATTAGAAAGATATATCATGCAGACCTCCATGATCTGACATATCCAGTAAAATACGGCACAAGTAACCGTACTAGCTTGATGACGGGCACGAAACATACCAACCCCGGGGATACTGCCTTCTGCTTCGCACATTCATTCCGAGGTCTCTTCGGCTGGCGCAGCATGGTAGGTTCCAATAAGCGACTTGTCATTAGTACCCCTCGTGTGCTGTTTCCCTGTAGGGCCGAGTGCTTTCCGCATAACATTCGAAGCCTTTGTAAAATCATTTTGACTGATGCAAGGGCTTGCGACAACGGCTTTGTGACACTTCGTTATTATTCGGTCTATGAACAATTATCAGATGCCAAACAATGGTAATCGGAAAACAGTGCACCCTTCCGAGTCTGACGCGAGGTACGCGCAGACTCGGATGCCTGGAAGTGCACTTGGATGAGCGACGAGAAACGCAGAGTCAGGTCCTGTCTTGGCTTTTGCAAGTCGGAGAATCGCCTGTGTTTTCTCATATGTTTTCTCATATGTTTCTCCGGAGCATAGTTTGTCTTTCAAGTGCTGCTACCATCACGAAGGTGCACGGTGGAAGAGCAAGACGCGGTCGGACCGCGTCTTGTTCTTCCACTGTGCGGCGGTCCGCGAGCGTGACAGCTGACGGACGCGTGACATCTTGACATCTACTTCTCCAATACACAGTTCCGACTTTGACCATGGCCAGCTGGCCTAAACCAACCATAACCTGCCAATAAGCCTACATTGTTCTTAGAGAATACTTGCCACAGCCAAAACGCCGTGGGCCAGTAGAGTTGTATAAAAAGCGTCTCCTATTTCTCATCTTTCTCCTCACTCCATTTTCTTCCTTCCATACAAAATGCGCATTCCACTTATCGCGAGTCATCGATACCAAGATGTTGGTCGCCGAAAAGGTGGTGGTGGCGGCGGAAAAGGTGGTGGCGGCGGAAAGGGCAGCGGCAGCAGCGGAAAGGGCGGCAGTACAGGGAGTGGGGGTACGTCTAATCTAACTGCTAAACCCGTGGTAAATCTGATTAGACTTTTCAGGCAAAACATTGAAGGTACCAATCACGGGTGGCTCTGCCAGCGGCAAAAGCACTGCAACGGCGTACGGATATGGAGGTGGGAAACCTAAAACAATTCCCGCTGGGCAGTTATTTGGTGGACGCACTGCTGGAGGGGCGATAAGACCACAGATATATGGTACAAGGTTCGTCAACAGATTTTTTGATTGCGAACGAAAGTCACTGAGGTGTTATTCAGAGGGTATGGTAGCGGATATCCCGGATACTCTAGCTATGGTGTCGCAGGCCGAGGATTTCCGTTTTGGTACTGGCCGGTTGTTTGGGGAGGATCTTCAAATCAGTATTTCCATGATTCTGAAGTAACATTTTTACTCCTCGCACCAGAAGTCAACTGATGTTCCCCTTTTAAAGTATGGCAATTCTTCCAATACCAGTAGGTTCGGCGGACCGATGGCACAGGCCGACTTTATTTCAAATAGCACCGGTTCTACTTTCCATCTACTTTCCGACAACAGCACGATTGGTTCCTTGATCAACTCTATCAACACCAATTGCTCGTCGCATCTGTCATCCTCGAGTTCGAAATCTCCATCGCCGTATAATTCATCCGTTCTAGGAGGCCCTCAGCCAGAAGAAGCTATACAGTACTACCGCTCTTCCAGCATCGTGCTGGCTTTGGATGGCTACAATAACTCCGCTACATTCAACAGTAATCCGAATGTCACGGACTCGCCGTTGCCTTCTGGGGTCGACACGACTCTTTTAAACTGCTTGAATTACACCATTGGACAGGCCGCTCCGTTAATCGATAGTGCCAGCTCGCGGTACATCTCGCCACCATGCATTGGCTTTGCCACCCTTGTTTGGTTCTTGTGGTTCCTGGGGTACTATGTTTGATTCTTCTAGATCATCATGCATCATGTTTCATCCCCTCGCTTTTTTTGGGTTTCTCCATCATGTTCAGATCCGGATCACGCCTTCGGATGATCCTGTTTGTTCCACATTGTTTATTGATGACTTATCTTTGTAAGTTAAATCGTGATGCATAGGCGCATCTCTAGTTTATCGTACGGTACTATAATCGTAGCCTACCATTCTTCTTTATGTCAACTGTATCGGTTGTTTTTTCAGAGGCAAAGGCTAGGCTTTGTGTACTCGGTGCGAAATGGGGGTAATAAACTCGCCATGTCGCTGGCAGGGACACACCGGGGTGAACGATATTTAAAAGAGGTTTATATGTTGTACAAAATGTGAAGACAATATTTAATATTTAAACTGACATAAAGATGGGTGCACGACTTCAAATTTTGGTGGTGTTTTGTGTGTCATCCAAAATATCAAATATTCACAACCATATTCCCACAGACAATATGTCAACAAATATAATAAATATAATCAGATTTTCCATGTCTGCTTCAATTTAAAGTTTGATTCTTACATAAAACTTTGGAGAAAACTTGAAGTTTTGCCAAAGCTTGACATTTAAATCGAGTTTTAATGTCATGTCATCTGTAAAACTTCAAGTTTTCTCCAAAGTTTTACATGGAAATTGAACTTTAAGTTGAAGCAGACATGAAAAATCTGACTATATTTCTTATGTTTGTTGACATATTGTCTGTGGGAATATGGTTGTGAATATTTGATATTTTGGATTACACACAAAACACCACCAAAATTTGAAGTCGTGCACCCATCTTTATGTTAGTTTAAATATTAAATATTGTCTTCACATTTTGTACAACATATAAACCTCTTTTAAATATCGTTCACCCCGATGTGGGAGGAACTTTCGTCCAAATGCAGTACAAAGGTTTGGGATGTCGGAACGTAATCGTTTCGTGGGAGTTGTTAATTTTCTTGTCACCGAGAACTTGGTCAATGGGAATTTTCGGCGAACGTGCGGCCTCGAGGCACGCCAGAACGGCGATGGAGAAGCGCCAAGGTTCTCGAGCGGGCCAGAGCCGCATCTCATGCCTCGGGCGTTAGATGCAAAGTTTCAGCATTCACGTTACAGTGATGAAATGACGTGTTCCAAGACGTGATGGGCTGAGCAGACACGGTTCGAGCCAAGCACTCCCTCGTCCTCTGTTGATAAAATTGCAGACAGTGAGGTCGCCCATGAGTCAGTCGGATCCGAGATTCTGAAAGTGAGAGGACGAACGAAGAACGCTATAGGAACCGAGTCGGACCACAGAAACCCAAAAAGGAAGTGACAAGCTAAATCCAGGGATGCTTCTAGGACGAGGACCTTGAACACTCGAAGAACCGTGGTACGCATGTTTATTCATTGAAAGGCGCTGACAGTAGCTCTCTGTTCTCAGCCCATTTCGTGATTATCATCCACTAGAATCTAAAATAACAAGAGGCGGTGTTCTTGGTCCTGTGCATATAATTAAATCTTTGCACCCACACTCTGGGCTCGCTTGACAAGAACCAATCTTCGGGCGGACTCCCTACCTGAAAAGCTATAAGGAACGCCCAACACAATAGCGCTTTTTGTTCCCCCCTCCGTCTCTCTTTTGTATCCTGCTTTAGGGAGCTTCCCAACTACTACCGTGCTACTGTATCCATATCACTATAGACATGCCAGCCGTCCGTCTTTCACACCGTCGACGTTCATCCTTGGCCATTGGTACGTTTCTTGATCGCTTTCGGTTTGGTTCTATGCTCATGATAACGATGAATAGCGGCTCTCCACCCAATAAAGGCAGGCATCTATGGTATCAACACGACTCCTTCGCCACGATCAGTTACATTTGCGCCTAATGTCACTCCAGTCACGTTTAACGAGACTGACGAGTGCTTGTCCTCACCAACACCAGAATCTTCGTCGCCCACGACGCAGCTCTTCCCTCCTTCAGAGCTTCCCCCAACGACCACCAGGAGACGTGTACCTCCTGGCAAGCGCCGGTCGCTAGGTTACATACCACGTCCCCCGAACGCGTTTATGTTGTTCCGTGCGGACTTTGTCCGTCAGAAGCACGTTCCAGGGTCCATCGAGACTAATCACGGTTCGCTGTCCAAGATTATCGGTAGGTTTTAATTACCCAGATAGTTTCATGTAATTCTCATGCTGTACCTAGGCAATTGCTGGAGAGCGCTTCCTCTCGAGGAGAAGCGTGTATGGGAGATCAAGGCCAAGCACGCCAAAGCTGAACACAAGGCGCGGTATCCTGAATACCGTTTCCGCCCAGTCCACAACAAGAATAAGGAAAAGAAAAAAGAAAAGGCCACACCCACAGCTGAAGATGAACGCCGCTGCGAAGAGGTTGCTCAGCTCCTCCTTGACGGAATGAAGGGCGACCAGCTCGCTGCTGCTATCCGCAAGCTCGATGAAAATAAGGTACATGTGCCTACGCCTGCCTATCTTCTGAGGCGACCCTCTTCCGTGCCCCTTCCGGATTCGCGGTTTGGTGCTGCAGGCATTACCATCCCAACGCTACCTTTCTTTGCAGGCTCGCGTCCCGGGTCTCCTGTTGGAAAAATCTCTCGCTCTGCTCGCTATATCCTGGGTCAGCGCAGAGCTTCGAGTGCCCAACCGACTATTCCCCGTCATTGGGGCGTCGCCCCACCTGCCTCTTGGCAGCGCGACGAGTCTCCCCTTCCGGAGGCAAACACGAGCTTGTTTGAGCCATCGTTCTTCAACTCGAACTTTTCCAGCCAAACCACGCAGTCAGACTGTGCATTCGTGCGTATTGCCATTTTTTATCTTGCAGATCGATGCTGACATGATAATTCAGAGCTTTAATGAGATGATCTCCACTTTCCCTCCTCATGCTCCTCAGGACTTCGGCATTGCTCCCTTGGACCCGCTTCATGATCTGTCATTAGATATCAATGCCTTGAATTTCAACCCGAATGACCCCTCCGCCTGGATGTCGGCAGAGTACAGCAACTCTCAGACTTCATCCCCATACTCCGGCTCCCCTGCACATTCTGACATGTCGCTGCCCGTTGCTGCACCCCAGCCACAGCATGCAGTCGCCCAATTCGATCACTGGCCAGACATGTCGCAGCAGTACACTATTCCTGTCAAGGGTCTGGACTGCTTGCAGGGGTCCGGTGAGCAGCAGATCATGGAGCCACAGTTCTCCGGTTACTCAACTGGCATCGAGGGTTTGTTCCCACCGCTCGGCGTCGTTGATACCCATGGACCTCACATGATGGGTTTCGACTATAACTCGTACTGCTTGTCTTAGCTCGGCGCGTATCTCTATCCTCGTCTCCACCTACACGATCTATCATTGTATGTATAGCTATTTCTTTTATTAGCCTCGGAGTTTCCTCTCCTTCCTTCCCTGTTTCTATATATATCCTTGGTTTGCACGGTATCGTTGACTTGTAGCTTTATCACTTGCTGTGTCAGATTGGATTGCGCATCCACCCTTGTATCCATATCGTCTCTATTGTCTTGTATGCTTGTAAACGAGCAATATTATGATACCCTGTTCCGCCTCGTTCTGGGGCGGAAAACGTCAAAACGTGATCTGAACTGAGCCGACTAGCAAGTTTTATCTATGGCGCCGGTCTATATCAGTCTTGCTGTGCCGCAGGGTTGTACCTTCGCATGTCATTTCAGTGGTTCTTCGGAGCATGACAATTGGCTACACGTGGTGAGGAAGGCTGGGCGGTGCTTAACTTAACGTTTCAGCGATCTGGGAGATTTTCAGCACAGGTTTTTGATAGGTAGCGCATGATCATCTCGCAAAGATATGTGCGGGCGCCACGCATCATCTACTAGGCGCAGTCTAGCCAAGGCAATGCGAACATGACCACTAGTCGATATCCGTGCATGACGCACATACATACGTCAGTAAATTCCTTGGGATCGGGAGGGGATACCGATGGGCGTATAAATAGACATGCTAATAAACACACACCAGTGATTTACTACGAGGGGGAAGACTAATCCGACGGCAAGAAGGGTACAAGATGACATCGTTCATGATCCTGGCTACCAATGTATTGGGGAAGTGTCCATGAGTGTCTAATGTTTATAAGGAAGGAAGGACATCATGATCATCATGATCTGCTTCTCTGCTTCTCGAAGATTCCATCGAACGAGGGTAAGCTGGTAGCTCTTCGCTTGGCTCTCGGGAATAGTCACTTGCAACTATATGTTCAGCCCGGTTATCTACATTATCATGGCGATAATCATCTGGGGAATGGGCACATGACGGATACAGCTTTTCTAGCTCGTAGAACCGTCGGCGCCTTGCAACAGTGGACGGAGAGGTGTCACAATTGTTGGGTAACTGATATGATATGGGATCGACACGGGACGGGGTAGATGGAGATCCATCCCTAGAATCCTGTGCGGGACGTTGGATGATGAATGTGCCTCTACCGCTCAGAAGACTCGGAACGGCAATGTTGCGCTGTGCAGTTGAGGAAAGGTTGAAAGGGGTCATGGATAATATTTGTCCTGTGCGACGTGATCGCACTACGATACAAGCTAATAGGAGAGCTAGAAGCGCGACTCCTACGACCGTTCCTCCAATGACGGCGGCCATGGTTATTGGGGATGCATGCTCAATTTCAACAAAGATTGGTTCAACCGACGGACTCGGGAACACGTCAATTTTTGTCAATGTGACTGGCACTATGAGAACTGAGGTGCTCATCGCGGGTGTGAGCGAGTAGGATGTTGGCGCGAGTGTCTGCCATGACAATGAGATATTTGGCGTAGGCGTTTGAGGTTCTCCTGAGGGACGATCTACGTCCATGCTGGGATTGTGTAGTCGATGAGACACGGGAAGACCATCCTTTGGCCGACCTTTTTGTGCTAGAGTTCAAACAACTATCGCACCAGAGACGGCCAAACGTTTCAGAACTTTGGGCAGTGCCAAAGTAATCATGGGTCGATCATGAGCTCCGCTGGTGTTTAATGTACAGTATAGGCGCGAAAGACAATAGGTGTCTAGAGTCTAGACAGGCAAGAATTTTGAATTTCAGTCCAGTCGAGACTGGCGAAAACAAAAGCATATCGAGACGGAGTTTCCTGATATGGTAACTACGTTTGACCCGGAAGGTAGTAAGCGAAAGTCGACTTGTACAGCAACTCAGCATCTGTTGATTTATATGATTGATCTAGGCTGATCTACAATGCATGTAGTGAAGCACAGAGATCTGGATATTGTGAAAGGTCAATATCAATATTTTACGTAGATCTAGCTGACTTCTACGACAAATTCTAGGGCCAGTTCGAGTCGGCAGCTGGCTTGAGCGGAGTTTTTCTTAGGATGTTGTGCATCGACGCTATGTCCATGATTACGTTTGTGATCAGACCATGAAGCGCTCATCACCATCCCGTCTCCCACTGCGAATATTTGAATGCCTGGCAGCCGCAATCCTCCGGCCCATCACCCGCTGAACTTGGTCGAAACGGTCGCTAGCTTGCTTGTCTTTCGCAGACTAGTACTCTCCGGGCAGGGGCGTGTGGAAGTCTCATGTATGAACACTTCGCCTGTTGCGGTGACGCATTTTCCGATATCTTTATCATAGGGGTCTCACGTTTGCACCAGTGCTTCTCGCACTTGAAACAAGTTCGCGGTTTCCATACAGATTGATCCAAACGTGTTAGAGGACTCCACTCGAAATACTACTGCTTAATCTCCTTCAATAGCAACCCCCTGCCAGGAAAGTCGAGACCTGCCATTTTGTGGATGCACTAGTAGCCTGAGGCTCCAAAATTCAGGTCTCGATGACCCGGCTCTTCAACTTCCCTGTGCTTTAGATTAATTCAAGTGAGTGCAACTTTCTCACGCAACGGCCTCATTGGCCAAACGACATAGCTCAAAGGCAATGCCAATTGCGTGGCAACAGAAAATGTCGGGGTAGGTGCGCATCGCTAGTTAAACCTCCACAAAAATACATAGTACTTTACATCATTCATGGTCCTGGTTATCAGGAGATTATCTATCGGAGGGAAGTTCAAGAGAGCCGGTAAGAACATGAGGATCATCAAGGTCTACTTTTCTACTCAAAGAATCCACCGAACGAGGATAAGCCGGCGGCTCTTCACTCGGTCGTTGCGAATAACCATCCGTAACAATGTGTTCAACCCAGCTTTCTGGATCGTGATGATCCGAGGTGGGGACATGAGACTGATATGGGTACAGCTTCTCTAGCCCATGGGACCTATAGCGCCTAGCAACACTAGACGCAAAGATCTTCTCATCGGCCAAGTGAGATGATATGTGATCTGAAGCACATGATGATGATCTATTCACAGGATCGGAGTATTGAATGAACGATGAGCCTCCGCTGTTTGGACGGATAGCACCGCTGGCACTCTGGAACTTGAGCCACGCCCGTGACTCAACCTGCGTTGGCCCTGCAGTTGAGAGGAGAGGGAAAGGTGTTATAGAAAGTTGTTTTATCCTGCGACGGCGCAGCAAGATAAAAGTTAGGAGGGATAAAAGTACGACCGCTCCCACAGTGCCTCCTATGATGGCACCTATGGTCGGAGATAATTGAGTGTTTGAAGTGGTGTGAGGCACTGATGATGTTTGGGGCAGCGAGCTCGAGACCATCTCAATTCTGGTCGATGTAACTGTGGATGAGAAAGGCTGAAGCAATGTGATGGTGGCTCCGATTGTTTGGTAAGTTGAGGCGACTGTGGTGTAAGTAGTACCGACAGCGGTATTGCCACCACTAGAAGGGTCCCCACTCGGCGATGATAATGACGGGCTTCCAGCGTATCGATTTGTCGACTGCGATGGGCTGTAAATACTAGAAGAGCCTGAGGGTGTGTGGGAAATTGCTGAACCGCTAGAGGTATTATCTACTGAGGTGCCATATGGCTTTGACGACAGGTGGGTACTGTAGGCTGATGATGTAGAAGTAGTTATAGCGGGAATCGATTGGGGATGTGTGGAAGAAATGGTATTGAGGGGAGATAAAACACCGGTAGTAGAATATTCGGGAACGTCTGGCTCACAGAAAGAATCGAACATAATGCAAGACTGGGTGTACGAGGTGTCCGCCTGACGTTGGGAAATGTGAGCTTCCGCCGAAAGTCGCGGTGCTCCAACCGCCAAGTTCCCAGCTTCACTTGGTTCCGACATTCTGCGTTCAATAAAGGATGCGGCTGTGATTGGGCTAGCCTGCTCATTTGACAAATGATCGCTGTCGGACAAAGTGCAGCCTATGCAGTTTGCCTCGGGCTCGTCTAATAGCTGTAGACCACCTTAGTTGACTATCAGAAAGAAAGAAAAAATATGAAGAAAATTGATGCCTACGCCCGTCCACATTGGTATCTCGTGGCCGGTCCAACGAGACAGGACCATCCTCAGATATAGTTTTCAACGAAGGGTGATGAGGCTCGTCGCCATTTAACGAACGTGAATGATATACAAGATGATTGCGAACTAAAACATTGAAGCGAGTGTGAAGGGGAGTCATTTCAGCCAAGAGACCCAGTGGGGGGTTGGGAGAACCATAACAATGAGATCGACTTTTTTTGTACCATAAGAGTGAGATCAACCTGATTTCACACCCTGAGTGACGACCAGACGTTTCAGCAGTGCCAAAGTGATCATGAATCGATCGTGAGACATGATAATTGATAGTAACTCCGTGGCCGTGATAGACAACCGCTGAAGTACTAAGCATTGGTCCTTTGATTCGAGCATTGTAGTTCAGCGTGTCTATAACCGATGAAAGTTCGGTGCTTACTAGTTAGTCATTTGGCCATGGTTCTAGTACAACAGCCATTATGATGTGCCTCACAGAGAAATCGTGAATGATGCGACTAAACACTGCATGCAACGTTGACAGATGATCAGATGGTGGTCTAAGGTTCCGAACGTCATAATTATACCACTGTTACGACGTTCTCAAGTGAGTCGCACGTGTACACGTTCAAGTTGTCCTATAACAGTTAAATTGAGTGATCATCGTGTATCCATGTGGCGGAGATATCACCCAGGACTAGCTACCGCTAATCACCCGTGGTACGATGGTCCGTTTATTTTCCGATTGAATTCTAGTCGAAAGGGTGAGATATGCAGGGTAAATAATAAAGAATGCGTTGTAGTCACATTGGTTTGCTACAGGCTCTCAGGCTATTGCAGCACGAAAACAACTGCAAAAAGTTAGATCAGTGATATTGAAACCGACCTGTTTTCACTGGCACGTACTGTGAACGTAAAGGCTAGGACCCACACTTGCCCATTGATTGCTCTCTTTGGAGTATCTACCTATGTGTCACAGCTGACTGGCAGAAAGAAGCTAGGAAAGTTTTGAATAGGTTGACACTGGTTAAGAGCAAGAACACAAACAAGGTCGAGGAAAATGAAGATCGTGCTTCTAAATCTGATAGCCCTTGATGAATTTCATAAAAGACAAATATAATCATGTGTCTGATACGGCTTGAACGTTTGAACGTTCGTGCGCTGAACGTTAACATTCAACGGGTTGCTTACTCAACGCGGACAATACTGTGACAGCGTAGATCGCAGTTGCTTATTCGACGTCATGTTTCCTGCGTTTGAGGCACTATCATGCCGTCAAGTGTTTCCAGACCCGAACTCATTGACAGCTAGGTCCATGCGTACTTCTAAAAGCGCCGATAGAGGCGCCTATCATGCATGAGGAAGGCCCGACGGTGAGGCAGCGGACGTAATATGTTCGCTTGCATTGGCAGCCAATACGCCCATTACATGCCACACGTATGTACAGATGTTCGAGAAGCGGAGGGAGTAGTGCGTAAAGCGTTAAAAGTACGCCGTATCGCGCATGGTCCTGGCGATCGATGATCATGGGAGGAGAGGGGAAGGACTGGATGGGACATCATAATCATCATGACCTATTTTCTCGTTCTTCCAAGATTTTGTTTTCCCATTCTTCAAAGATTTCGTTGACCAATATGCCGGCAACACTTCGCTTGATTCTCGCGAACAATCCTCCATAACAACTTGCTGGACCCAGTTTTCTACACTGGAATGACGATAATGATCGGAGGTGCAGGTGCGAGATGGAGATAGGTCCAGTCTTTCTAGCCCGTTGGATTGTTTATGCAGGACAATGACGGATGGAAAATCGTCATCGTTGTCGGGCAAGTGATTTGATACGGAATCTATGAGAAAGGACGAGTGTTTGTTGCCGGGATACTCCATACGGTATGGGTCTGAATAAACAGACGATAGGCTTCTGTTATCTGGACGGACGGCATCGCCTATACTCTGGGCTCTGAGCGAGACCGGTGACACGGTCTGCGCTGCTGTTGCAGTTGAGGGCAGGATGAAAGGTGTCACAGAAAGTTGCCTTCTTCTGCGATACCATATCGCAATAAAAATTAGAAGAACTAGAAGCGCGACCGCTCCAATAGCCCCTCCTACGATGGCAGCTGTGTGCGGAGGTGATTGAGGGTCTGAATTGGTGTCAGACACTGATGTTGATTGGGCTGATGCGCTCGAAGCCACAACAGTGCTGCTCAATGAAGCTGTGCCAGATGCAAGGACAGGCTGGAGCGACATCGTTGTTATTGCTGCTGTTGTTGCGGATGTATCAGAATTCGGGGAGACTGTAGCGTCATTGGGGGTCGAGGATGCAGGGTATATAGTGTTGGAGTTTGGCATAGAAGGGGACTGCTGACCAGATGTCTGAAGAGTGGTCGTGGACAGGGAACAAAGGACCCCATCGCATTGATAAACACTGTTGGCAGATGGCGTAGTAGAGTGAGAATATGTAAGGGTAGAAGATGCGAGTGTAGGAGATGTGAGTGTAGGAGATGTAAGAATAGAAGATGCAAGGGTAGATAGTGGTAGAACGGTGACTGCCTGGTTAACAGTCATGGCTGGCTCCTTACTGACGCTTGTGGAAGAGGTCACACTCCGTCGTATAATGTAACCTTCCTTGACGTGTCGTGGCGATCCAATCGAAAGATCACCAGCTTCAAAAGATGGCATCGTTGAAGTAGCCTGCTCATCGGAGAGATGTTCACAGCCAGACGGAGTGCAGTCCACTGGTTCGATCTCGGGCTCTTCAGAAGGCTTAAGACCTTGGTTGACTAATGGAAAACAGATACTCAAGAAGAAATTCCAAGAAGAAATTTGGGATTTACGCCCATCCACGCTGGTATCCCGTGTTTGATCTAATGAGTCGAGACCATCCTCCTGTACGGGAATTACAGTCTGTATAGAGGAGTGCTGAGGCTCAGCACGGTTGAACGAACGGTGTGATAAATGATTGTGAGATAAGAGTTTAAAGCGAGTGTGAGGGGGAGTCATTCTTCTCCCTTTGGCCAAGAAATCCAGTGGGGGTTGGAAGACCATATCAACGAGACCGACCCTTTTGTACCAGAGTAAGATCAGACAGCTTTCGCACCGCGAATGTAACCACGGCGACTACCACACGTTCCGGCAGCGCCAACATGATTGTGAGTCGGCCATTATTGCTGATGATCCTAACGACCGTAACGTACGCCTAGACACGACTGTCGTTAATTTTACGCACCACGGTCAAGTAAGGTAGTTCAGCATCAATGAGCAAAGGAGGAACGGACTCGATCATCTGGCCACACGCGAGTTCTAGTCCGACGGCCATCGTGATGTGTTTGAACAGAAATCATGAATGATGGGACAACACATGGCTATATGATAGATCAGTAATCTAAGTTGTCGAATGTTCATTGTACTTACCCGTCTATTTTCTGCCCATGTCGAAAGTTGACGCCCAAGTTCCAGCCGTTTGAACTCTGTAGAACACTAGGCAAGTCCTACATCAGCAAAAGTGGCGCAGCCCGGTAAGACCTTCCCAGGCATGGCAAGATACCCCCAGTCTGACGAACTTCGCCAAGACTGAACACGGCTTGCAGACAACCTCTCCGTCGTGCCAGATGGGCACCAGGCTGGTCAAAAGCCATCAGAATCGTGTATTTTAAAAAGTCTTGAGATGCCTTGCAATGTTGATCCAGCCTTGCCAGTTCCAAGCAGGCTGTTCATAGCTTACATGACTCGTACCAGACAGATAGCACACTGCAATGCAATAAACGGAATCCAGTGAATTTCATGATCATACAATACAAAGCAGTGCAAGTAGTAAAACTACACAGGTGTCTATGCGAGTCCGACGCCGTCCGAAAGCAGGAGCAAGGGTCCGACGAGAGCAAAATGATGGTGCGAGAAACGAAATATTGTAAGTGTGGGAGCAATTGTGAGTGCGAGTATGATGTACAGCATGATGGGCGCGAGATGACCAAGTGGAATGCAACAAGCGACCGCGTTCAAACCTGTGTGATTAAAGCAAGAGTCAGAATATGCAAACCAGCCAGGATTCAAAATACCTAGGCAGCCTTTTTACCACGACGGGGCACAGGCTTTTTCTTTGGAGGCGCGGGAGCATTCACATCCGGAATACCAGTATCACCCGCCTCGTTAGTGGGTTCTTCAACCTGAATAGCACCAGCAGAGAGACGCGCAGAACCGCGAGTGTTGGATCGTGGCTTGGGTGCTGGTTTGGCCTTTGGTCTGGGCACAGGCTTGGCCTTTTTGTGTGCAACAGGCACTGGCTTGGGAAGAATGGCTGTGGGTATAGCAGGTGGCTGTTTTGCCGGGGAGGGTGGGAATGATTCTGAGTCAGATAGTGGTGTCAAGGCGCGTGGTGGTGATGATGTGGAAGGTGTAACCTGTGGAGGGAGTCTGGGTGGAGATAGTGGTGGTGCAGGTGATGATGGGCGTTCTGCTGCTGATACTGAGGGTGGAGAAGTAGTGGTACTGCGCACAACGTTGTTTGTTGCTGATGTCGAAGTAGTGTTACCTTGTTTACGAGCAGCACGCTTTGCTCGCATTTTCGCAAGGTCAGAATCAGTGTCATCTGCGGCAGCCGTCATGGCCTTGGCTGCATGTTTCCCGAAAACCTGTCTGTAATCTGTGTTAGTAGACGTTGATATTAGCCTAGACACATACTCATTAATCCATGCCATTGTCTCTACTGCCCATGGGTCCTCGGGATCATCGAGAGTTTCGAGGATAGCGAAAAAGAAATCTTCTAGGTTGAATGACCCGATGCACACTTTGTACGAGTTGCAGGCCGAGAGCGAAAACCACGCCTGTACGAAAATCAGTACACTAGTCAAACATAAAAGCAGACACGCACTGCACACATGGCCCAAGCCCATGCTTGTGGCGTCACCTTTGTAAGCCCATACATGGTAGCCTTGGACTTGCTTCTACCGTGCTTGCTGTCGTCGTCGTTATGTTCCTCTGATCCTGCAGCAGCAGGACCTAGGTACAAGTGCTGGAATGCCTAGGATAATTGTGAGCACATGAAAGGTGACAATACACTACATACCCTGATACCGGCATGCCCGCGAAAGAGGCCAATGTTCGGGTCCTCGCTGTCGTAGATGGCATCAGCTGCATATAGGAATGACGGCCAATTAGTTGAGAGTAAAGGCCAAGTCCCATCTTGAAGACGCTGAATTCCTCTGAGTATATCACAGTCAGTGACCAGAACTTGAAATAAAAACAAAAACTTACAAGTCGACATCAATATCAAATTTGTCCAGCCACTTCCGAGGGCAGAGCTCACGCGCCAATCGTGGATGATTGGTGCCTCGGTTGGACTTACAGGATGACTTTGGTATGGGAGGCTGCAGGGTATCGCTGTTACGGTTCGTCAAAATATACTCGAGCATTGGATGTTTGAGGGATGCGAAGTCGTCGGATCGTTGTGAGCTCATGGCACTGTTAATCTGGTTATTTGTAATCATTAGTTTGGTGCCAATCAATGAATATATGCGCATATATGCAGAAACGTACCGCTGTGATATATGGTTTAAGTTCGTCATACAACAAGGTAACGAGTTTGTTGCTCATCAGATCTTGCGAGCAGATTAGGTTGATACTACAAGATGTGATTACCAACTTACATGTTTGAATTGGAGACGCCCCCCTTGTCAAGCATCATCCCATAATGAAATGCAAGTGACACGCTGGCAAATGGATTTAATGTAAGGACCGCTTTGCGCCCGGCCGTGCGATATTCCGATAACGCGTCGCTCAACCTTAAGTTATGTGAGTTGCCTGATAGGGGTCAGCCCATGAATGTAAAACTCACTTTATTTTCTTCTGCCTGCCAGTGGTAGTAAGATTATTGAGGATATCATCAGTTGAGACGCGTTTTTTCGACGCGTTAGAGCTTGATGAAGATGTACGCTTCTCAGAGTTGGAAGTTGGCAATGTCGTGTCAGAGTTTGATGAAGACGCGCATTTATTGGAGTTGTAGGCTGACGACGATGCGTCAGAGTCTGATGAAGACATGGTAGGGTGAGGTAAAGGGCTCAGGGGAAAATCAGGCAGTTGTTCACAGATATCGGAATTTAAAAATATTGATGGCCGGAGTTTTAAGATCATCAGACAACTGTGACAAGCAGATACACTTTGAATTGAGCAGTACATGACATATGATAATTAGCAAAAGAGCATTGTAAAATAGTGGTACAGTGCAAGAAGAAAGAGGTACTGTGAGCAACATGAAAGGTATCTGTAGTACGAGAGCAGGTGATAGCAAACGGTGGTTGATACAAATGACTGCAAAAGGAATGAGTGACTACGGGAAAATGAGCGAACAATTTGAAGTGATAGTGGACAGATCATAATTTACGACGCTTGCATGCATAGTCCTTGATGTCTTGATGCAGTGCCTTCCTTTTAGCAGCCTCCGATGGAATGTTTGACCGATCAAATGGCCGTACTGAGTAGCGCCATGGTGCAAATGGGTCGGTTGGTCTTGCATTTGGATTACCACAGCGTCGAGAGAGTAGGTTGCATGGAGACACGTTCCTTTGAAAATCTGTTAGTCAGAATCCAAGCATGGTAATTAGACGGAAGGTTGCATACACAGAATTTATAGAATCCTTGTCGTCCTCCTCGAACTTTACACAAGTCTCGACTAAGTCAGGTTCTGTCTTGACGTTGTCAGCCTTGAGTGTGCTCGACACCTCATTAGTGCTGGCTTCAAAGTGAATAATTGGCGCACTGTATTGAACAAATCAACTCACATATGGCCGGAGTCAGATGAGCCCTCTCGAATGGCCTTTCCGATATCTTTGAACCGGAAAATCACTCGCTAAATAGACAAAATCACGATGGGTTTAGTAGTACTTGTAAATAAAACGGTTATTGCATACCTTGGAGCCAGGAGTGACTATATTTAGGCCAAGACAATAGGTATCCCACGTAGAGGCAACACCATCGATCTCAATGAGTATGTTGTCCTCGAACATGTTGATGGTAGACGTTGAAGGCATTGAGGATAATAAATAGTAGCGTAAGAGTACAATTAATGGTGTTGGTATATAACAGATAAGCAAAGATCGACGCGTTATTGAGACATTGTGTATATCCGGAAAGTGCCGACTGACTTTGAAAAGTCACGTGACTTTCGAAACAGACAGTTCGAACTTGTAACTTCTTTCGTCTCCCTTTTTTTCAACTCGGTGTAGAACGGTTCAACCTGGTTGGGAAGTCCTAGTATTATCCGCATCCCTCAACTAGGGAATATATTCAACCCTTTCACTTCAATCTCATCCTTACTCAAATTCTGCCGGTGAGGGCAAAATTACCGTATTCGATGCCATGGTAGCCATGAGACATCTACCGGTGATGGTAACTCGCTCTTATCATCCTTCTCGTCATCTGACCGGACTGGCTCGCGCAGAACGATTCGACGGATTATGTTCGCTCCAGGACTTCCCTACTTCCTCGCCATGTCTAGCACTTTCCATCTCACGCCAGTAAAGTTCGCGAGAAAGTCTTACCTCCCCCTTTAAACCTTTATCTTTCTAGCGTTCAAGACAACTACACTACTCCATCAGCGTATATTCGTGGCCGCATCCTTTTCCAGTTTAGAACGACGAGTGAGCCCCCTAGACGCAACGACCTTCGGTCCTATCTGACGTCTTTACAGCGATGTTGTTCATTCATCGCAGTTTTTTTGCACAAGCCTTGCTTGACTTTCCCACAAATCCTCTCCGCAGTCCCTATGCTCCATCATTCCTTGCTGCATACCGTTGTGCCTCTGCAACGATCAAAACTACTGTCCTTAACTTCCAAATGTTGCCGGACCTCTTTATGCGTTGGTGGACTATCTGGAGCCATCTGTTGTCTGCAGCGGTACGTAGTTGACTTAGTATATGGCGTGATACTCAAGTAGGCACAGGTAATTGTGGGATCCATTGTTACTCGAGCACCATCGACGACTATGGCTCCTGCTGCATGGCAGGAATTGAACCTTGCAGTAGAAATATTTTCACGGGGATCAAAGACATCAAGTCGCGCTCGTCATGGTTTGGTGCGTATCATTCAAAATTTACTGCACTAATGGATCTTATTCATGCGATTTCTCAGGCTATCCTAAACAAACTCAAACTGAAAGCCTATCAAGCGCTTGAAAAATATCGCAGTGGAGCGACATTTAACAACCAAGGCAGTCTATCCTCCCTCCTTCCGGAGGTGGGGGGTGTTGACGAACTTACCATGTTTGGTGGGCAGACTCGTGTCCTCGTCACCAAGATCCTTTCGCAGCAGAACCGCAAGAAAGTACCATCGTCTGTTCCCCTGTCGGCTGCAGATCCATCAGGTATGGATGAGCGATGGAGATCGTTTATGCGGGATTCTGGAATTTTTCGATGGGTCCCAAAGTTATGATCTCATGACGGATATCTAAAAATTTGCTTCTTCCTCGTTGATTCAGTTCTCAAGTTATCACATTTGAAACCTCTTATTTATAAAGTGACTCTGGTTCTGTACTGGAGGGTAAGAAGTTGATGGCTGGTGGGTGGCCCGAACCATGCCAATCAACCACGACACTCTCAATTACGCCCATCCGAAAACATGCGACATGGTCACCGATCCAGAGGGTGTATAGCTTCAATGCCCCGGTGGCCCGAACCACGCCAATCAACCACGTTTCTTTTTAGTTTGCTTCAACTCCCCTCCCTATGAAGTCCGGTATGGCCCGTCCCCGCCCCGAGACTGAGTAGTGGAGCTACCCCACCCTCGCATGCTCACCCGCCCTTGGATTCTCACCCGCCTCCCATTATCACCCGCCTCCCATTATCACCCGCCCTTTTCTCACCCTGAACCACTCCTCCGACAACTACAACATCATATCAATACCAAGCTCAGCATGCATACCCTCGCCAAGCTACGCAATCTGCATTCCCACCTCCAGTATCACAACACCCTCCCTCTACTACTTACGCGTCTTACACCCTGCCATCCATTAATCAACCTAAATCTGAACCGGTCGACTCTGCACATTCTCGCCCTCGCCTGCCCTCGCATCTTCACCCAACCTCGCACCTACCCGCCCTCGCATCTCTCAAGCTCGTACGCTACAAGCAAGAAGACCCTCTGCACGAATCGTGCTTGCTATTGGACCTGCTTTTGATCCTTATTTGATGTCGCATGAATATCGTTGTTTCTTGTGTTGAGCCGACACCCATGTAACTTGACCTTTATTGCAAATATCATCTCCATAATGAGGTTCAGCTCTCACTCTGTACTCGTCTTTCAAGAGTTCGATTGCCAAATCCACCTATTTATCTATGGCGGCGCAGTGATGATTCTACATCCAAGACTGTTCAAATCTGGTTATCAATGAACTACCAAAGATACTGACTATAGGTAAATACATGAAGACCTCTTCACATCCAGTTATCGACGAACGACCAGAGATATTGAGTATATACGTCGAGCATTGCCCTCCCGTTCAAGTGAGTTGCTCTACAATTGCGCTCTACAACACATTTCACGATCCTCCTTCAGCTCACAAGGGCAGTTACTTTCTTCAAACATAGTCTATCGGCTTCAGTCATGATCCGCAGAGGCTTGGTCGAGCACGTCAGCCAGAGGGAGAGAATGGCAATGTTGGACCTATAGCAGGAGAGAAGGATACATCACCATATGGTGCGCAGCACTGCCAGGATGCTCTTTGGGAGCGTAGAGTTTTGCAGGCAGGTTTTCATCAGGTGGCAGGTCCGATTTCATATAAAATGTGTCCTTTGTTCTGACTCCTTGCCTCCCCATCGCAGTGCATGCCTGCAGTGACTCAGGCAGATACACGCAGGCGATGCCTGCAAAGTGTACCATCCTTGCGTTACTCACTTTCATCCTCGTCATGTCGTTCGTATGCCCTGCTTGCAATTATACTGCCAAACCAGCACGCGGTCTGTCAACACACCAGAACCAATGGTGCAAAGGCCTTAGAGACGCCTCAAACAATGTCATGAATGCCCGTCGCGAGCGCCAAGCCCCACAGCCCCCTCCTGCTCCACATGCTCAGTCAGAAGCTCCCTTAGTCGATGAGCCCTCACTCAACGAGACGAACCAGCCAGAGTTTGAGAATCCTGAGCCATATGTAAGTGAATGTTTCTTTTGTCAGACTGATACAGGGTATTCATGCTGCTGTCTAGGAATTGCCAGTACATCATTCGCCCTCGCCCCCACCACTGGCACGAGCATCAGGTCTTCCGAATCGCAGGCGACAACTACCTTCACGTTACCGAGATGAACTTCCTGCCCTTCCCATCCCCGTTCCGATTCCACCTCCAGTAGATGATGTAGCCCACGCCGTTCCACAATCTCCTGTTCATTCTGACTCAGGTATTACCGAATCAGAAGGAGAAGTGTGGGTACACACCGAACAGGATGCTTTTGGCACCTTCCGTTCATACCGAGGAACTTTCCCTTCCTACGACCCCGAGAACACTTCATCGTTTGATGATGTATGTGACTCTCGTACTTTCCAACAGGCCGACAGTTCAAACAAGCGGCCTTGGTATGCAGGCTTTGGTACTGCTATTGAAGCAGTCAATTGCACATTTTTTGCACCTTTTCTCAATGCTACCACGTTTCGTCTCATGAACTGGTTTTACGAGTCATCCAGTGGTAACTCTCTGGCTAATGTTGACCGCCTTGTGCAGGGAGTCATATTGGCGGATGACTTTGAGCGTGAGGACCTCAGGGATTTCTCTGCGTTTCGGGAGGCAAAAAGAATGGACCAGGCCGACGAGGACCCTGATTCAAAGCTGTTTAGCACCTCTGACAAGTGGCACGAGGCGTCTGTCAATATCAAGCTGCCTGCTGAGAAACACAGGTACACATCTGAAGCTGATGCACCTGACTGTGCCGTGGATGGACTCTATTACCGCAAGCCTCTAGAGGTTATCAGGTCAGCCTACGAGGAAGTCGCTTCGAAATCATTTCACAATGTCCCGTACAAACTCTTCTGGCAGCCTGACGAGGGTGAATTTCCAGAACGTATCATTACAGAGGTCTACACAGCCAATGCTATGCTTGATGAGCATGAGAAGATAAAGGCGCAGCCCCGTGAGCCTGGTTGTCAGCTGGAGACTGTCGTCACTTCCATCATGCTTTGGTCAGACTCGACGCACCTTGCTTCATTTGGACATGCTGCGCTATGGCCAATCTACATGTTCATCGGAAATCAGTCAAAGTATATCAGGAATTGTCCCTCTGCATTCGCTGCTCATCATCTGGCGTATATCCCAAAGGTTTGCATTTGTTTCTTGATCGAGTTTGCAAAGTTTGCTGACTTGCCTTCAAGTTACCAGACATCGTCCATGAATATTACCATAAATTGTATGGGCAAGCAGCGACGAGCGCAGTGCTCACACATCTCAAGCGAGAACTTATGCAAGCCATTTGGCTGTTTCTCCTTGACGAAGAATTCATGCACGCATATGAACATGGTATTGTGGTGCGGTTTGCTGATAATGTGAAGCGCAGAGTATTTCCTCGATTTTTTACATATGCCGCTGACTATCCTGAAAAGTAAGTACTCTGCCTGCACTACTATGCCATGAAACTAATCAAACGCTGACAGGATTCTTCTCGCATGCATCAAATTTCTGGGAAAATTTCCCTGTCCGCGCTGCCTCATTCCTAAGGAGAAGATTGCTGACCTTGGGACGAAGCTGGATAGACTGTGGCGTAAAAGGGACGTGCGATTGGATAATCACGCACGCAGGAGTACCATCGAGAGAGTGCGTGATTGGATCTTTACAAAAGGACGCAACATTGGCAGCACTGTGATCGACAAGTTGCTTGGGCCAATGTCACTGGTACCGACACGTGTAAGTTTCAAACTTCATTAAGATAACTTTGACTGATAGAATCAAAGAATGCATTTTCTGAACGACTATCTAGGTTTGGATTTGACTTTCATTCGATGTTCGTGCCCGACTTTATGCACGAATTTGAACTCGGTGTTTGGAAAGGGACTCTCACCCATCTACTACGGATTCTGCATGCGTTTGGTGGAGATACTATTACACGGTTCGATGCTAGGTGAGTTCTGTGATCTAATGCATCCAAAGACTAATATTTTGAAGATTTCGCTGTGTGCCAACGTTCGGGAGGGACACTATTCGAAAGTTCAGTCGGAATGTATCAAATCTCGCCAAACTCGCTGCGAGAGATTATGAAGACTTGTTGCAGGTCTGTCCACCCTTTAGTATACTGTTAGCTGTCTAATGACTCGATTCATATATAGTGTTGTATTCCAGTAATGGAGGGCTTGCTACCTGATCATGACGACGTCATTCTCGACTTACTTTTTGAGCTTGCGACCTGGCATGCACTTGGAAAGCTTCGGATGCACACTGAAACAACACTCAATTTCCTCGACAATTCGACTACCAGGCTAGGACGAGCTCTCCGCCGCTTCAAGCAGTCTACATGCGATTCGTTCATAACACAAGAGCTACCCAAAGAAGCTGCTGCTCGGGGGCGCCGAAAACCTGCATATTCGGCCAAGGGGAAGTCAAAAGCCATGCCGACAAACAAAGGTAACAAGAGAACCACTGAGGGCACTCGACAACGATATTTCAACATGTCTACCTACAAGTTGCATGCGCTTGGTGACTATGTGAAGTCAATCTGGTTGTTTGGGACAACTGACAATTTTTCGACACAAGTGGTGCGCTAATACACACATCTCCGCTCTTGATTCATGGTTCTAGTTTTGATTGCAGGGTGAACTGGAGCATCGCCGTGTGAAACGCTTTTATGCACGCACTAACAAGATCAAAATTGCACGGGGTATCGCAAAACAGCAGCGCCGGGAACGACTCCTTCACAAGATTCGACAGAAGGCTGCCGCACAACGAGCTGAAGGTCGCTTGAACCATGCAGAAGATTCTTCTCCCTCAGTTGGCTTTGCCGAAACAGAGTCATTGCCGCAGTGTTCTCCGGAGACCCAGTATCAGATCTCCAACTCACGCCGCCAACACTGGGACATCACTTCATGGCTGCACAGGAACCACGAGGACCTTGCAGTGAAGGTAACTATCAGTCACTGTGGGTTTTGGTCTATCTGATTTTGCATAGGATTTTTTACCGCGGCTCAAGGACCATATTCTTACTCGTTTTCTTGGTAATGATGATTCTGAGGAACGCACATTTACTGTTGCGCAGCGGAACTCACTCATCATCCTCGACAATAAGATCTATAAACACAAAGTACTCCGTGTCAACTACACGACATACGATCTTCGAAGAGCTCAAGATTCGCTCAATCCACGTACACATGCAGACATCATGCTCCTAGGCAATGAGGAAAGTGAACCTGGTGAACTCACTCCTCACCCATATTGGTATGCGCGCATTATCGGCATTTTTCACGTATATGCCAGGTATCTTGGTCCAGATTCTGATGACCGGGCTTCACGACGTGTCGATTTCCTATGGGTGCGCTGGTTCTGTCGAGACTCTAATCATAAATCAGGCTGGGCTGCACGTCGGCTGCACCGGATTGGGTTTTATGATGCCAACGAGGTCGGAGCAGATGCTTTTGGATTTGTCAACCCTGCACAAGTGATTCGTGGTGTCCATGTGATCCCAGGATTCGCACATGGGTCCACCGCAAACCTTCTTCCTCCATCAATCGCTCGACAGGCTTGTGAAGGTGACACAGATTATAGCTGGTACTACGTCAACCAGTCGGTGGTTTTTTTTACTTGCAAAACAAATGGCTGACTTACATTTTTTTTAGATTTGTAGACCGCGACATGTTCATGCGGTTCCGTGGTGGTGGTGTCGGACATAAGACCACACGAGAGGCGACAGAAAGCTTCTACAAGGACCGAGATGCACTTGACTCAGTGCCGTTTACGAAGGAAAGCGAGCGCACTGGTATGTTTTACATACCAGGTTCGCCGATGAATGAGGACATCGACTCAGAGTCCAGCAATGATCGTGGAGACACACCGGCAGATGCAGACATGCGCAGCATCAGCAGTTCCAGTGAGGAGCATATGGATTGTACAGGAAGCCGGTCTGAGTCGGAAGATGAGCTTGAAGAAGCAGAGAACTTACAGAGTGCTACTTACGAGTTCGACACAGATTTGATTGATGGAGACGAGGAATCGGATGAAGAGGCTGATGATGACAAGGATGGTTCAGTGTTGGATGACGAGCGCAGTGAGTTTGGTTATGGTAACCTAGAGGAGCAGTTGTTATCAGATGACAGCTCAGAAGAGGAAGGCTCGCAGGATGAACTAGATGATGCCGTTCTTGGTGCTGAGGACGGAGAGGGTGCCGCGGATACCGAAGAGGATTATGGTGACTATGCCGAGTATTAGAATGCATTGGAAGGACTTGTCTTTCAGCCGTGTGAGGGAAGAAATATCATATTACATTACTATTGTATTGATAATTCTTGCATACATACATGTGCGAGTGACGTGGTTATAACATTACTTTGTGACACCTGGGAGCCTTACAATGCCTGGCACGACGCCCGTAAGGCCTGTAGCCATGTTTGGAACTCTACGCAAGGCTTACGGCATTTGCCGAGGCCTTGTCAGCTTGCGCCACTTTTGCTGATGTAAAAAGAGAACACAGGCAAGAAGTTTGACCAGGTCCTGGGAACTTTCAACTTCCGAACAATCAATCGATCGCGTTCCCGCATAGGACGTAACTTACGGGACGTTACATACCCAGTATCTTGATTTCACGGCGGCAGCCTATAGTGTTTCTTCAAAGCGCGGCGGCGATGATTGAATCAGAATTCTGAATCAAACTCCGCTACAGGGGTTCGTTCCTCGAGTTCGCTAACTTACAAAGATCAAGTACTTCAGACACCTTTGTGATTAATGAGTTGTTTCACTTGGAACGTTAGTTATGTGCAGGGCGTTACATATACAAGTACAAAAAAGAATTGTCGAAGCCAGTATGCCCAACCTTCCATGTATAAGTATTCTATATCAATCAATTTGACTGCGGACGAGAAACACCCGCTACATCCTCTCCAGAGGCCTGATACTCAAAAGCCGCATCGCAGCACCCAACACATCCCTCGCGCAAAGGTAGAGCCACAGTCTCGCGCGAGCTTTAGCTGCATCTTCTTCCCCTTTGACAATGAGCGTCTCCCAGGCACTTGAAATCGCGTGAGCAAGGCGGAATGCGAAAGTCACTACACCACTCGGTTCGTGCGTCTTCAATGCAGTCTTCACGACATCGGGGTAAGAGCCTAAAAGGATCGCGATGTCGCGTGCATGTTGGGAGGAAGTAAGAGAAGAAGTGTCGATCTGAGATGGAGGCGGCAGGGGGATGAGCTCTGGATTTTTCCGTTCCATAGAGGTGAGTCGGACATGTGCGTATTGCAAATATGGTCCGGTATCGCCTTCGAAGGAAAGCATGCGATCCCAGTTGAAGGTGTAGTTATTGATCCTGGCGTTGGATGAGCTGCAGTAGCCGAATGAAATGATGACACTCACCGCTTTGCAGCCATGTCCTGGATCTTGATTCCCGTGATTCCCACTTCTCGAGCGACCATCTCAGGGTCTTCAATGTTGCTGTACTTCACCTCGTTCCGCTTCATCTGCTCGTGCATGACAGACGAAGCTTCGCGGATGATCTGATCCAAGAAGACTGCGGTTCCCTTGCGAGTGCTCATGCCGAGCACTAAGCCGTAGTTGACATGTTCAAGGCGGTCTGCCCAGGGGAATTCCATCAAGGACAGCATCTTGAAGAACTGCGACAGGTGCAGGTCTTGCTGCGACGCGACGACATATATCATTTTGTCAAATTTATACCTCTCCCATCGCTCTATCGCACCGCCGAGGTCGCGAGTGAGGTAAATGGAAGTACCATCTACGGATGGAGATCAGTAACACGTATGAAGTGATTGGTTTGAGACATACTAGCTTTGCGGAGTACCGCCTTCCCGAGTTTCCATTTTTCAAGATCGACGAGTTTGGCACCCTCGACATCACTGATGAGACCCATCTCTTGAAGGCGCTCGAGAGCCCGATCCTGCCACTCCTTACCAACCTCGCTCTCCCCCGTGTAGACTTTGAACGACACGTTAAGTCGTTCATATTCCTCGATATACTTCTTGACGCTCATTTCCCGCCACACTCGCCAGTTCGCAAGCGCCGATTCGTCGCCGTCCTCCATCCGCTTGAACCACTTGGCGGCCTCGACTTTAACGTTTGGATCCGAGTCGGCATCCTTGGACACTTTGACGTAAACGTCATATAGATGTTTGATGGCGTCGGTTTCGAGGTCCTCTTGTGAGCCGTACTTTTCGAATCCAGTGGCGATCATGCCGAACTGACGAACCAAAATCAATATTCAGAAAGGAGAAAAGGAAATTGCTTACTTGAGTGCCCCAATCACCTAGATAATTTAGAGATACTACCTCCCATCCGCATGCCTTATATAAATTGTCGAGAAATGCGCCTATGATAGTGCTCCGAAGATGTCCGACGTGAAATGACTTGGCGATGTTGGGCGAAGAGTACTCGATCACGAGTTTTTTGCCTGCGCCAGAGGTGTTGGTACCGTACGACGGCTTCCCTGTGGGGCTGTCGTATGTGAGAGTGTGTATTTGGTTGAGGACTTCGCGAATGAGGGAGGTGGTGTTGAGTTGGAAATGGAGGAATTGTTTATCGTGGGTAATTGACGAGACGAAGTCGTCAGGTTGGAACTAGTAGCAAAAAGCATGAGAACTGACGGGGAGGAGTAAAAGAAGGAACCAACTCACATCTGATATGACTTTTTTTGCTAATTCGTCAGGCTTGCCCGGCAGGCGGAATCGCGGAAGGGCGACTGTGAAATCGACGCCCTTCTTTCCATAGTCGACACCGGTGTAGGCCTGGTCGATGGTAAGGGGAGGGAGCGCGTCCGATACACGTTTTGCAATAGCAGTGCGGAACGCGTCTAGAATGCAGGACGATGGGTCCGTGCCTAGAACAGAAGGTAAAGATGGGAGCGAGGAAACCATGGTTGCAAGAGTTCTCACGTAGGAGTACTTTACGATCCTGGGGAGGATGTTGGTGGTGGTAGGGATGAATCTAGTTAGGAACGCCACGGCTGCTTAAAAGTTTTGATCGATTAGATGACTCGCAGAGAAAGAAATTAAACTATTACATAATCACGTGATTTTCAGAGCAGCACGGCCATGGATCCGCACTGGAGAGATTCGCGTTCTTATCAGCGTGTCATACTGCTGTTGGCGATGAGAAGACACCCGATGAAGTCATTCACCTCGCAGCTGATCTCCAGTTTTCGGGGTTCAAAATTGAAAAGCGTGACTGGCACACTGTGGAAGGTCAACGATGCTGTCGCAGAACACATCGTCGAAGCTTTCTACAAATACATGATATTCAATCCAAAGGAGGGCGTTGTCATGGACTGTACGAAGGCGGCCTGGGCACTCAACTGCGCTACACATACCGTGAAGACAAAAGTATGATAGTCCAGCTTTGGATTTGTCTGATGGTCAACCGTATGGTGAGTCGGCCATATGTACTATTCCACCAACATGTAGCTCACTTTCGCACACGCCAGCTTACACACCTTGCCTCACAGTACCACCTGAGCGAGTACAACCGTATAACGCATGGCCACCGAGGTGCATCAATGCATCATTTGTTGCCATCATTCAAACCATTTTCACTAACTGCTGCTGCAGGCTGTCCCATACCATGTGTGCCACTATTACTGAACGCACCAGACACCTGTCGTGACCTTCGCGCACGGCAGGCAGCAAATATGAATGGTGTACTGTGGTGGCCATGTCCAGAGGCGTCCTGCCCCCCTGCACAGGTCATACCCGCTTCCGAACAACGCAATGCACTCCCTAGCGGGAACGCTTGTCCTTGCCTCCTCGCATCCCAGCATCCCCGTCAAGACGTCTACAACGCATCCGTTAAAGTTCGTTTTAATACACCTTTGAAGAACTGTAATTCATAATTTTGTTCCAAATGCAGTATATCTACTATCGTGCCTTCGGAATTATTACCCGCAATGCCATCGCATCTCATAACCAACCCTGAGCCTTCACTTCTCATATACCTGACTTCTATACCCTGCATCGCATCACACACTATGCCCAACACATCCCATCAACAACTAGCCCTACCTCTCTAGCGATCTCACGCAAGGCTCACTCGCGTCGGTCAAGTCGAATTCCATTACTACCCTGAATACCCGCCCATTCTTCCTCATCAGAACCTATTCTTCATACTCCTCCCCTCCCAATACCTCCGGCGCTCATGAACCAGCCACCGCAGTCCATAATTGAGGCTCTTCAGGTTGCCATTGACACGCGCTTAACGACCCTTTCGCTTCCGAGCTTTCTCCTACTCTCAAACATAGTACCAAAGTTCGCGTAGTATCTGATGATTTGGCGAGCAACCAGTCTTCATCTGCGCAAAGAGGGTCTTCTGCTCTGCGCAAGGTTGCCTTTCCTTCTATGCTTGATTTCCTTAATTCCAGCGAACGTGAACAGTGAGTCTGTGTTGCCATTGTTCCTTGTGTGTAAGGCTGATGATGTAGACTAGCATTTTCGGCTGCATCGCAGAATGCCAAGACGAGAGCGTCCAGCACGTTGCTCCATCTAACATCAAATATTCATGGCACCAAGCGCTGTTTCAAGCCGGGTAACTTGATGCTGTCCTCGTGTCCAGGAAAGAAGGGTACATTTTACTCAAGGCTCGAGTGCATTCGCTGACTAGCGTCAAAACGGTTACTAGTGCGCTTCGCAGGTCCGGTCAGAGGGTGTAGCGCCGTTTGTCGAGATCTCGACACTGATCTACGGCGCATAAGTCAAGTCGGGGCACGCTGTATTGTCTGGTTAGTTCATGTATTGGCGTGTCATGTGCTTAGTTGACTGTTTTGTAGTTGACTCGATGACGAAGAGCTCGATTTTCTTGGAATATGCTGGTCAGACTACATGAGCTCTGCGCACCGGGCAGGAACGACATCCTTCGGTAAGTACTGCGTCTGTTGAGTGATTCCGCTGCTCACTTTCATTATGCTTGCAGAATACCACTACCTGAAGGCCTTGCTCCACTATCGCCCCAGTCATTAGACGAGTCCCTGACAAAACTCATCGACAATTACACCATGCGTGGTGCACTGTCGTGGGCTTGGGTAGTGCAGGCCTCGTAGCCTGCTGTTGGGTACTAAAAATCGGCTTGTGTGGATGGATCAATGTGGACTTATCACCGAACCCAGCAGAAGACGCCAATGGCCTGGAGAACTATGCGAGGAGGGATACTTTACAACTCGTCGAGCGCGCGATCACTGTTGTGCGGAGACGGCGAAGCGTCAAGGCCATTGAGACGTTGGAACAGGTGCAGTTTTTGACCGAGTATGTCGAGAAGGGGTTGGGCGGCACGGACAGACGTGATCGTTTATGGTTGGGGTGCAATTTTGATTTGTGGCTATAACCAGCTTACTACTGTAGTCATTTTCATGCATAGGTTTAGTAGCAGCTTGTGTTTGGAGACTTCCCGCACATCGTAATACACAGTTGCAGTCAGTCAATGGGGGGACCTTGCATAACTTATTCCCACTACAGGTCGATCGAATATTTAAAACAACACGCGACACTAAATTTGCACCTAACCATTCAATTGTTCTCGTGGGATGCAAAAACTGATCAAGATAAAACGCGGTGACGCTTACACAAATTTGTCCGGTAGAATATCAAATGAGAACCTCCACCCCGCCCCCGGATTCCAATGTACACCCTGAACAAAGTCACATCACCAGCTCTTGTAGGATCAACTCCGACTACATCCGCCCACCAAGCAACGTCGTTCTCTGCTTGCATTTGTGCATTAGGTCAATTTGCTAGGTGCTCCTGACAGATACTTTCGAACAACATGCATACGCGAGTCACGACATCAGACTGCGGAGAAATGTTCAAAGAAGTGGCGCGCTCATATGCCGCTTGAGGGACAAATCGGATGGCAATGTATTCGTGCTTGAGTGGATATCATGACAAGATGAACGATAAAACTGAAATACCCGTGGACATCCAGCAATGCTTCCAATCTAAATCCAGTCCACCAAGGCCTGGTCAGAAGTTGTCAAACGATTGTCTGTGCATGGTGCCAAGTTTCTGAGAACTGTTGTGTACAATATTTACCTTGGCACGTTGGAGGGCTCCAGTCTAGCAGTAAGCATACGACGTTAATAGAACACAGTATGTCGTAGGTTACATTGTTATGATTGGCCATAAATCCAGTTGTATAGTACAAGCGAGCACTGTCTGCAATCGTGACACTACCCACGCGCAAAATCATCCACGAAAGAAACAATGGGGTGCTACTACTTCTCGATTCACCATGGTTCGTGCACCGAACCTACAGGGCGCTTTACCCGAAGCTTGGACATTTCTGCCTCATCGATCTTATAAAACTGTATCACCTCTTCGATCTTGTTCACGGTATCCCTATCCGCGTGGTCCAGAAAAGTCAATTGCCGAATATGATCCTGAATCCGAATAACAACTTCTTCGCCCATTCCAGAGTCGGAGTAGGATTTGACTGCGAGTTTGATGGCCCTACGAGTAAGTCCTTGGCTTTCTGACACGATAAACAGTGTCTGCAACACAAGCGTTAGATGGATGATGTAGGTCATGAAGCGCCGAAGCACCACGTCGCTGACAAAGAAGTGTTGATATCCTTTCGCACATGAAAAAATAGTGGTGCGCACGATGTTTGGTATACATCTTGAGCCCATGCAGCAAGTACGCCACTTGCTACGATTGGTACCACGATGGGAACCGCATGTGCCGCCAGGGCGGACACGATGGTTGTGAGAGTGCCAAGCACGGTGAGCCCAGTAACTCTGTAAACATTCAGTGAGATAAAAATTCATCTGTGACGTAAAAAACCAGCCTACATGGTCTTGGTGGGATCAGCTGTCAGTTCAACTTGTATCCCATCGACCATGTTTATTATCATTGCCTTGAAGTCTGGACTGCGCAAGTACTACGCATAAATCACGTTAGGGCGGATATGACGACGATAAATAAGATACCCATCACCTTTTGAGGGTCACGGAAGTTCCAGACATCGACTATGTCAGTGTGAAGCACATCCAGACAATCCCGCATCTTGCGGTTCTTGAATAATGGGCATGATCCAAGCACCTTCCAATATCCTGTAAGACATAAAAATCTAGGTCGTACTCACTAATCATCAACGCGAAACTGGAACAAACTTTTTTTTCCAACCCTGACGCTGCGTAAATCGCCAGATAAGAATAAAGCAAGCAAGACTCACTTAATCAATGCCTCTATTTTGAGTCCAGAATGGACCCGCTGAGCAATGGAGGTCATCACCGCAGCCTCGGGCGTAGAATGCTGGCCGACATATTTTTCAGTTGTTTGGATCAGGCTGGCGAGGGTCTCCTTGTAGTCAGCTTTGGCTACAATATTAGCTAGACTTCAGAGGCACGTATGAACCTGTCAGGGTAATGGTACACACTAGAGATTATAGCATGGGGAATATCAGACCCCGCAAATCGCTTCAGAGGTTTAATGCAATTAACGCGAATCTCGATATCTGCTTCTGTCTTGGCGAGTTCCTTTATCTCTTCGTCGCTCAATCCATCGATGGAGGTTTCATCTAGTTCTAGCTCCATCTGATTAACGAGCACATCATATTTAGTAAGAACCACGATAACGGGAACTTTGACAAAGTGTGAGCTCCAACGTAGCAAAGGTATATTCATCGATTCACTTACTGTCTCCCAGGGTTCCATCACGTTTCCATGTCAGGAATTTCTCGGTCCCCGTCTCTAGGAAACGTCCGCCTGCAAAAGGTATCTGAAAACAAAGCCTTGCGTGTATTTTGTCAGTCCACCATGACGGAATGGTCAAGATAGAATCCTACCAAACAGCGTGCAACTGATCTTTCAAATCAGGCATTGCTCTCCGACGTTGAATAAAATCTCGGACAAGATTGAGGTTGTCTTCTTTCCCTGGTTCGAAACCTTTGCTATCATGGACAATAAACTTGTCGTTCTGCGGTGAGATAAACTCATGGTCGATGATCGCCTCGCCTGGCTCATCGTGCGCAACGGTCTATTGACAATATGAATACCTGTGCTCGTTGAAGCGTTACATTAAACCCACCGTTTTTGCACCTACTCCAAAAACGTGCTCGATCAGTGACGACTTGCCAACGCCAGTCTATTAAAATCACGTCGTCAACACTGGCCTGAGATCGGATAAACCAAATACCTTTCCTATCACCAGAATTCGGAATCTTGGGAGCGTCAACCTCAAGAACGGCACGTTATGATCATCCTGACTCACCGAGGACAGCGCTCAAACATTCGGGAAGTGGTAGGCAGGAGCTTAATCTACGAGTTAGACGGTTTCGATGCCAAACGTGGATCCTCACTTCAGTTGAAGTATTCTCGGAAAGGTCGACGACGATCCTAATTTTTCCGTGCCACTTTATGTATGCTACAGAGGTGAGGTTGGGTTCGTGAGTGATTGAGGTGAGGGTGCAATTATTGTTTCACCTTGTCCTTCGCCTGCGCTATACGCGCGGAACGTGTCATCCAGGTCGAAATGAATGTCTTCATGCTTCAATTCGGTTTTAAAATGTTCCTTGTACGATATGCGTAAGAAAAACGCATCCGAACGAGAAAGCACTCTGAGGGGAAAAGATACAGAAGCAACTTAAGTGAGTTGAACATGTGTTAGGGTCGAGTACTTGAAAGTTACATGGTCTCAGAAAATGTCTCTCGCCAACTCCTTCCTGCTCGGCGTCTAATCGGCAAACGGAAATCATTGCCAATCAATACTTCAGCAAACTCTATATCCGTTCTCGACTCGCTGAAATCGACGGTGATACCTATTAGATATATTCAGCGGAGCTACTACTTGATGACAAGAATTGAGTGACCAGAGATGGGGCACCAAACGGTTGTAGCATTACTAGCCATGCTGGTTTGATCTAGGGAAGAGTTCTGCTCTGAGCATCAAAAGCACCTCGTTGATTATAAGATCATAGAAAACACGTTATAACCTTGCGATAAGCGATAAGAGAAATACCGCATGTTACGAGCTGTCCTGGGGCTGACAGGTCACGGTTCGGCGGCCCTGGTGGGTAGTAATAGACGCGCGATGGGTGCAATAGTGACCTCTGCTGTAAGTGAGGTAACGCCCGTTCACTGTTTTCAAGAGCTTTAGGGAGCCAAAGTACTTCGGAAGGGTGTGTTTGTTACGATTTTGGCCTAGTGAGTGTACGAGATCAGCAAACAGGGATGGTCGTACATGGTTGCCTCATGGTACACAGCTATAAATGATCAGGCCCATTGCCCACTGATTCTAGATAGGCTGGCTTCGGGTGGGGTAGTATTGGCCGGGTTCACACACATGGTTGGTTGCCTCATGGTATGTGACACAGCTATAAATGATCAGGCCCATTGCTACTGATTCTAGATAGGCTGGCTTCGGGTTGGGTAGTATTTGCCGGGTTCACACACTGCAATGATTATAAGGATACACAAACGCTTCTCCTCGAGTCACATTTACCTTCCCCAATGAATCCTTCAAAGATAAGAAAGAGAATCGATCGGTTTCGAATCCTCGTCATAGGAAGAGCGAACGCAGGAAAAACCACCATCCTGCAGAGAATTTGCAACACACAAGACAAGCCAAAAATATACAACAGCGCCGGGAAAGAGGTGGGCCCATCACATTGCTAGTAGGAGGATGGTGGTGACCTATCGACATCAGATCGATCTGACAGTTTTAACGGCATCCAAAGAGGTATCAAGGTGTGCTCTGACTTGAGGGCATGAACTAATGTGTTGTCAGCGCGGAGAGCATGACATTGAGAACGAAATGGTGTTTCAAAGTAACCCGGGCTTCGTGTTTCACGATTCACGCGGTTTTGAGGCAGGCGGCGAATCCGAGTTTGAGGAGGTCAAGGCGTTCATCACTGACCATTCTAAACGTGGCAGAATCGCAAAACGACTTCATGTTATCTGGTAATTACAACCGATCAATCAAGACATGCGCTATCTCACGGTTTCAACATAGGTTTTGTATCCCAATGGACGAGGCGAGCAGGTCGTTCACTGCAGGCGAGAAAAGGTTTTTCTCTGAGTGCGACACAGGAAGCAGTAAGCTTTTGCATCCCACCCTCATCGATGTTCGACTGATATGCAGAATCACAATCCTCAGTTCCAGTGATCGTATTGTTCACAAAGTTTGATGCGCTATATGTCATCGAATATGGAAAGCTGAAAGAGGCAGGAACTTCCCTGAAAGACGCTAAACGACAGGCTCCGGAATGCGCCAAGAAAACATTTGCACATGGTCCACAATTGAAGTTTTTTGAGGATGTCCGGCGGCCTCCAAATTGCCACGTATGCCTTGCCAGTAAGCCGATTTGTAGTCGAGTTGCGATACACGATGACCGTTGTTCTATTAGATATGAACAAGGATGATGCAGATTGCGGCGCATTGATCGAACAGACGGCTGGAGCTTTGGATGACGAAGTACTCAAGAAATTATTCGTCTCCACCCAGCAGACCAATTTGGAGATCTGCATGAAATATGCGATTCAGAGGTAACTATCTATGGTTTCATTTACCTGTTCACAAGCGATAGCGACTGATATTGTTCAGAACACTCCCAAAACATCTTGACTCTACAAAACCAACAGCATCTGAGAGTCATGAGAAGATGATGATAATCTCAAGCTGCTGGTTTCCGCATATTTGGGTAAGATTATTGGCAAGTTCAAGGTTGTTCTGATTTACATGGGCGTTGACTTGCAGGCAGTACGTCTGTCAATCCTCATTGAAACTTGAGCCATGCTGATCCAAGTCGTTGCCCACCGTTCGCAGGACGTGAGTGTGTCGATCCTCGTTCGAGCAACAGCCATGCTGATCCAAGTCGTTGCCCGTCGTTCGCAGTATGTGAGTGTCGACCCTCGTTCGTGCAAGAGCCATGCTGATCCAAGTCGTTGCCCACCGTTCGCAGGACGTGAGTGTGTCGATCCTCGTTCGAGCAAGAGCCATGCTGATCCAAGTCTTTGCCCCCCGTTCGCAGTGGGTGAGTGTGTCTATCCTCATTCGAGCAAGAGCCATGCTGATCCAAGTCGTTTCCCGCCGTTCGCAGTATGTGAGTGTGTCGATCCTCGTTCGAGCAAGAGCCATGCTGATCCAAGTCGTTACTCCCCGTCCGCAGTCTGTGAGTGTGTCTATCCTCGTTCGAGCAAGAGCCATGCTGATCCAACTCTTTGCCCGCCGTTCGCAGGACGTGAGTGTGTCGATCCTCGTTCGAGCAAGAGCTATCCTGATCCAAGTCGTTACCCCCCGTTCGCAGGAAGTGAGTGTGTCGATCCTCGTTCGAGCAAGAGCCATGCTGATCCAAGTCGTTGCCCACCGTTCGCAGAAAGTGTGTTGATCCTCGTTCGAGCAAGAGTCATGCTGATCCAAGCCGTTGCCCACCGTTCGCAGAGAGTGAGTCTGTCGATCCTCGTTCGAGCAAGAGCCATCCTGATCCAACTCGTTACCCACCGTTCGCAGGACGTGAGTGTATCGATCCTCGTTCGCGCTCGAGCCATACTGATCCAAGTCGTTGCCCACCGTTCGCAGAGAGTGAGTCTGTCGATCCTCGTTCGAGCAAGAGCCATCCTGATCCAACTCGTTGCCCCCGTTCGCAGTTGGTGAGTGTGTCGATCCTCGTTCGAACAGCCATGCTGATCCAAGTCGTTACCCCCCGTTCGCAGGACGTGAGTGTGTCGATCCTGGTTCGAGCAAGAGCCATGCTGATCCCAGTCGTTGCCCCCCGTTCACAGGAAGTGAGTGTGTCGATCCTCGTTCTAGCATGAGCCATGCTGATCCAAGTCGTTGTCCACCGTTCGCAGTTGGTGAGTGTGTCGATTCTCGTTCGTGCAAGAGCCATGCTGATCCAAGTCGTTGCCCCCCATTCGCAGGAAGTGAGTGTGTCGATCCTCGTTCGAGCAAGAGTCATGCTGATCCAAGTCGTTGCCCACCATTCGCAGGATGTGAGTGTGTTGATTCTCGTTCGTGCAAGAGTCATGCTGATCCAAGTCGTTGCCCACCGTTCGCAGAAAGTGAGTGTGTCTATCCTCGTTCGAGCAAGAGCTATCCTGATCCAAGTCGTTGCCCCCCATTCACAGGAAGTGAGTGTGTCGATCCTCGTTCGAGCAAGAGCCATGCTGATCCAAGCCGTTGCTTCCCGTTCGCAGGAAGTGAGTGTGTCGATCCTCGTCCGAGAAAGGGCCATGCTGATCCAAGTCGTTGCTCCCCGTCCGCAGGAAGTGAGTGTGTCTATCCTCGTTCGAGCAACAGCCATGCTGATCCAAGTCGTTGCCCGTCGTTCGCAGTATGTGAGTGTCGATCCTCGTTTGAGCAAGAGCCATGCTGATCCAAGTCGTTGCCCACCGTTCGCAGGAAGTGAGTGTGTCGATCCTCGTTCGAGCAAGAGCCATACTGATCCAAGCTGTTGCCCCCCGTTCGCAGGAAGTGAGTGTGTCGATTCTCATATGCGCGCGAGTCATGCTGATCCAAGTCGTTGCCCCCGTTCGCAGGAAGTGAGTGTGTCGATCCTCGTTCGAGCAAGAGCCATGTTGATCCAAGTCGTTGCCTACCGTTCGCAGTTCGTGAGTGTGTCTATCCTCGTTCGAGCAAGAGCTATCCTGATCCAAGTCGTTTCCTGCCGTTCGTAGAGAGTGAGTGTGTCGATCCTCGTTCGAGCAACAGCCATGCTGATCCAGGGCGTTACCCACTGTGCGCAGTTCGTGAGTGCCGATACTCGTTCGAGCAAGAGCCATGCTGATCCAAGTCGTTACCCGCCGTTCGCAGACAGTGAGTGTGTCGATTCTCGTTCGCGCTCGAGCATGCTGATTCAAGTCGTTGCACACCGTTTGCAGAGAGTGAGTGTGTCGATCCTTGTTCGAGCAAGAGCCATGCTGATCCAAGCCGTTACCCACCGTTCGCAGTTCGTGAGTGTGTCGATCCTCGTTCGAGCGAGAGCCATGCTGATCCACGTCGTTGCCCACTGTTCGCAGTTCGTGAGTGTGTCTGTCCTCGTTCGAGCAAGAGCTATCCTGATCCAAGTCGCTGCCCGCCGTTCGCAGAGAGTGAGTCTGTCGATCCTCGTTCGAGCTAGAGCCATGTTGATGCATCAATAGGACCAGCTTTGCGATACTCACTGTATAGAGATACAGTCCAAGTTGCTTCCTGTGGTACGTCCAGTTGCTCGCAGATTGCACACATTCTCATGTTGCGAATTTGCCAGGCCCCTAGCTTATCGCCCTTGGTCGACGTTGTTCAGCTCATTTCTGGTGAATTATGAGGCTACCCTGTAATTGACCTGCTTATAATTGACCATTTAGCTGTTGTCATTATCTTCGAACGCTCTTTCTACATCTACGACGAGCGGCGCAATCTTCAGGACAAGCAGCGGTCTCGTCCCTCTTTTTATGTCGCTCTGGAGCAGTACATACTATCTCCGCATGCAGCTGCTGTTAGGAAAGATGCGCGCAATGCTGTCCGCGCTTATCGAAAAGCTGTGGCTACCGTTCCGAAGAGTATTGCAAAGGTGGAATTAGTCGAGGCCGTTCTTCAAATTGCTTTAAATCATCGCCTGCGTATGTTTCACCGTCATGTTGTGGCAGTGATCCCGCTGACCTACTTGTCTTCAGCAAGACCTTAATGCTAGCCAATGCAACACGCCGTAGATGGTGTCCCGAAGTGGAGCTCAGTGATGTGTCTTAGCAGTCAATGTACATTTCTTGAATGGTCCATTGAGATAGATTTAGGAGGTGGAACTGTGTGAAATGGTTGTATGATCACACGATATGGCACTTTTCTCGGCATGGTGTGCGGACGTTTGAAGCATGTGGGTCAGATGAGATGGTGGTGAAATCTACTACTGGGCTTGATGTATCCCCAAAGTATTCTTCTGATTCCAGTGCATTGGGGTCAGTCATGTTCTATGTACCCACAGCCTATCTCGGCTTGCGCTGATTATTTTAAACGCAGTATAGTTTTGTCCACCCTTGGCACCACTTTGAAAAGGTAGCGAAGGCCTCTCAGAGCAGGTTTCGTTGTAGGTAGTAACCTGCCTGAAAGCTCACCTCCACAGGGAAGCCTCCCCTCACATCCTGTTCAGGACTGTGTTTCATAGAGTCTCCGGCGAGGAGGAGCGAGGGGTTCATTTCATCGGCGATTCAGGTACATATCTTGATTCCGCTCCTCCTGTTTTTATTTGTTAAATCATTATTCAGGTGCGTTTCCGTTGCTTCTCTCATGTTTTATGTAAATAGCTAAGAGGAGCAGAATTTTCCCGCTCCTCCAGCCATTTCATTTGATCTCTGATCGGGCAGAGTATAGGAGACATACAAAGCAACATCCGTACAAACATGCGCACCCGTCGAAGTGGGTTGTTTTGTCCATCCTTTGTGCATTGCTTACGTCTGCTTGCATTAGTGCCAACCTTCTGCCAATGAGAGGTTCTAATTGTAAGTACTAGGACACTTGGACGTTCCCGTCGGTCGTCCGTTTGATCTCCTATACTTTGAACAGAACATTCGAGCTTGGTTCGGTTTGACGCTAGCGCTCAGGCGCCAGCTGAGCATAAAAAATCCACCTCAAGTAAATTGTTCCAAAACCGCTTACCTTCGGAGGTACCTCAAACACGGTTGGATATTTGTGGTCTGTCGAAATGTTGATTCTCAAGTTGCCGCCCCCGCGAGAAAGTCGCAAAAGAAAGATACATATTCACAGCTACGCTGAAGAAATCTAATGATATCAACGAAACTGCATCTGTTACTAAAGCGCAAGGCTATAGTCATATTCGGTCTGCGCACTTTGTGCAATCCAAAGCACAACCGCCGACAGCATCAAGGCTACGTTCTGCGATACATTCGCATAGCCGTAGTAAGTACACTGCTCGGGGTAGTCCATCATGATGTATATCACCATGAGAAGAGACTAGAAGATATATTGAATATCGGGTAGCGTTAGAAAAACATCTAGGCTTACCACGCTCCCCGCCAGGCCGCCAGCCATGAAAGCAAATCCAATGAACAGGAAAAGGCGTGCCCTCCACACAGCATTAGAATCTCCACAATCATCCCCTCTAATCCTATCCTTGTCGATCAAGTTTGTAATGAGCATGCCAGGGAGCGAACAGATACCCGGCACCCAATCAACGAACAGCACATGGACGGGAGGCGGGCTTTGGGGATCCTCATAAGGCGGGCGAGCATGCGCAGACAAGATGGCAGCATCGAGGAAAGTCGAGTTTGCAAGTGCGAACTACGGAAAGGACATGCAGTTAGGGTCAGCGCGCTTGGTAGAAGAAGCGTACGGACCAAAGCGCCTGCGTGGTAAATGGCAATAGGGCTTTCCGAAGTTCAAGTTGAGATCTGTAAATACACCATGCGGGGGTCATAGTCTGAGCGAGGGAGTGACATGGGTGATGGGGACAAGCTGGCAGTTGCGCTGCTCTTCTGCTGTGCTGGTGATGAACAACGCATCATATAGGGGCCTACCGTGTAGATTTTAGCGTTTGGTATTTACCAACCCTTTGGGTTACTAGCCTAGGTCAAGTCTGCAGAACACTAGGTATACGTAAGTCAAGGCAAGATGATCGATCGATCAACGTCAACGTCAACGTCAACCGGAACCAACCAAGCAGGAACTTTCAACTTTCGAACAATCAATCGATCGTGTTCCTGCATAGGAGATTATGGGACGTTACACACCCAGTCAAACAAAACTGTACAATCGGCGGCAGCCTATAGTGTTTCTTCAACGCATGACGGTTGAATCCGAATTCTGAATCAAACTCCGCTACAGGGGTTTGTCCCTCGAGTTCGCTAACTTACATAGATCAAGTACTTCACAATATTGTAGACACCAAACCTGAAGACACCTTTGTGATTAACGAGTTGTTTCACTATCAGTCATAACGGACTGCACTGGCTACATGCGTCCGACATTTGTCTTCACAGTTTCAAGCCCTGCCGAGACATCAAGCTAGCATCACACCTCTGCAACAAACTTTCAAGCTCAAGTCTTATGTCTCAAGATCTCATGACCGCTCACCTTACAGCTCACTGTAGACTAGTATAAAGTATCTGCATGTTCATGGTGCGTCTTGATTGTTGATACCGTCAGGAAGGCAACGTGTCCAATACTGTGCACCAAGAAGAGCAAGCTTTTGTTACTTTCGCCTGCAGTTAATTCAAGCCTGAGAGCAACCATTACGCGCATCATGAATGAAAAAAAAAATGTAGTAAACCGCAAAGTAGTCTCGATTCTACCATTTCAATCAGCATCAGTGGTCGTCCGCGCTCCGCCACCCCCATCTAACGAGCCGAGTCGCTCCGTCATGCCACGACTGTACTCTGCGACTAGCTAGTGTGGATATCGTAGAACCACGAGTACTAACGAAGCCAGCTCCATTCGACTGAATGATAGCGTCGAGGAACGCTGGATGCCTGGGAACAGCCACAACGTCAGAATGAAAATTTGATACCTGGTCGGCTCACCATTGTCCATAGATCTCCTCTGTCCGCTCCGCTGCATGAACGACCCGCGTCAACCCCAACGCCCTAAAATCTGACCACCATTCCGGGTTCCTTTCGCCGTTTGTCATGATAACATGCGTGGCATCAATGCATTTTCGTGTGTGAAGCTCTTCTCGCACCTCAGACACCCTGCGCGCAATGACAGACAACGGGGCGAAGCACTGGTCCACTGGAAACTCCTCGCATTGCTGGCTGAAGTCACCATGCCGTATGTGTATCGATATAATACTATCAAAAGTCAGATCTGTAGAATAACCTATCCCCGAAACTTTGACTCACGGGAGGTGTTAGTTTAGTTACTGGCACATTCATGGTGCGTTGGGCATGCCCATCGACAATTTTTTTTCCATGCTCGCAGTCCATCGCATGTGTACAACTTCGTGAGTTGAGAGATCGTGAGATTTCGGATTCAAAACCATATTGAAATCAAATAGTAGCATCAGACTATCCCAGCTACGACCAAAAAGTCTGGTTTTTCGAGGGTCCGGCGTTCGAGGACGGGATCGACCGACCGACGACAGCCCGAGGACGACGGCAGCTCGGCAGCATGATGCGAGGTGTGTACATGGATTTTTTGCGAGACCAGCGATAAAGCTTGAAAGATATCTATATAAGGGATAGGCGGGCCTGATCAATCTTGTGCCAATACGAAGAGCACTGAACATGAAGCAGCAATTAGCAACTGTAGCATTGTCTTCTCCACCCCTCACCACGTTTCTTCCGCAAATTTATCTGTGCGGCGCCCATACAGTCCTTTGAGCTGAAAGCCTGCACGTTAGGGCACTGGAGACCGATACTAGGGCTGGAGTGGAAGCTGTCGTACAAAAGGTGATTAATGTGCCAATTGGATCAGTGAGTACTTGACTACGTAAGCAGGCGATTTGGCTCCAGTTTGCAATTGCAACTTACTCAAAGCCTTGAACAAACTGCCGATACACAAATTGTTAGCACACTGCATCGTTGGGCCAGAATAAAAAAAAGTTCCGTATAAAATTCTCATCACGCTCGCCAAATATACACGAACGTGGGCGCAACTTAAGTTCAAAGCTCAAGCACAACTTGCAAGCACGTACTCCTTGCACCAGACTCATCTAGAACCTCGGCGAGTCGGGGAAGAATCATATGATGATCATCTATCCAAATCCAGTCCACCAAGGCCTGGTCGGAAACGATTGTCTGCACATGGTTGTCAAGTTTTTATGAACTGTTACAATATTTACCTTGGCACGTTGGAGGGCCCGAGTCTAGCAGTAAGTATACAACATTAATAAAACACAGTATGACATAGATTACATTGTTATGATCGGCCATAAATCCAGTTGTATAGTACAAGCGAGCACTGTCTGTAATCGTGTCAGCGCTGACACTGCCCATGCGCAAGATCATTCGCGAAAGAAACAATTGGGTGCTACCACTTCTCGATTTACCATGGTTCATCCGCCACATCTACAGGGTGCTTTTCTCGAAGTTTGGACATATCTGCCGCATCGATCTTATAAAATTGTATCACCTCTTCAATCTTGTTCAAGGTATCGCTATCCGCGTGGTCCAGGAAGGTCAATTGCCGAATATGATCCTGAATCCGAATAACAACTTCTCCGCTCATTGGAGAGGCGCGGTAGAAGCTGGCTGCAAGTTTGATGGCCCTACGAGTGAGTTCTCGGCTTTCTGACACGATAAAAAGTGTCCGCAATACAAGCGTTAGGTGGGCGATGTAGGTCATGAAGCGCTGAAGCACCACGTCGCTGACAAAGAAGTGTCAATATCCTTCCGCACATGAAAAAATAGTGGTGCGCACGATGTTTGGTACATATCATAACCCAATACACCAAGGACGGCACTTGCTGCGAGTGGTACCATGACGGGAGCCGCAGGTACCACCAGGGCGGACGCGATGCTTGCGACAGTGCCAACCATGGAGAATCCAGTAGCTCTGTGAACATCCAGTGAGATAAAAAATCATCTGTGACGTGAAAAACCAGCCTACACGGTCTTGTCGGGATCAGCTGTCGGTCCAACTTGTGTCCCGTCGACCATGTCTATTATCAATTTCTTGAACTCTTGACTGCGCAAGTACTACGCATAAATCACGTTAGGGCGGATGCGACGACGACAAATAAGATACTTATTACCATTTGAGGGTCACGGAAGTTCCACACCTCGACTATGTCAGTATGAAGCACATCCAGACAATCCCACATCTTGCGGTCCTTGAATGATGGGCATGATCGAAGCGCCTTCCAATATCCTGCAAGACATAAAAAATTAGATCGTACTCACTAATCATCAACGCGAAACTGAAACAAACTTCTTTTGCCAACCCTGACGCTGCGTAAATCGCCAGATAAGAATAAAGCAAGCAAGACTCACTCAATCAACGCCTTTATTTTGAGTCCAGAATCCACCCGCTGAGCAATGGAGGTCATCACCCCAGCCTCAGGCGTAGAATGCTTGCTGACGCGCTTTTCAGTTAGTTGGATTAGGCCGGCGAGCGTCTCCTTGTAGTCAACTTTGGGTGCAATATTAGACTTCAGAGGCACGTATGAGCCTGTCGGGGTATTGGTACACACTGGATATCGTAGCATGGGGAATATCAGACCCTGCAAATCGCTCTAGAGGTATAATGCAATTATCGCGAATCTCGACATCTGCTTTGTCCTTGACAAGTTCCTTGATGGCTTCGTCGCTCAATCCATCGGTAGAGTCATCTAGATTTAGCTCTATGTCATCGACGAGCATATCGTATTTAGTAAGAACCACGATAACGGGAACTTCGACAAAGTGTGAGATCCAATGTAGCAAAGGTATATTCATCGATTCACTTACTGTCTCCCAGTCTTCCATCACGTTTACATGTCAAGAATTTCTCGGCCCCCGTCTCTAGGAAACGTCCGCCTGCAAAAGGTGTCTGAAAACAAAGCCTTGCGTGTATTTTGTCAGTCCACCATAACGGAATGGTCGAGATAGAATCCCCACCAAATAGCGTGCAGCTGATCTTTATCAGGCATTGCTTTCCGACGGCGAATAAAATCTAGGACAAGTTCGAGGTTGTCTTCTTCCCCTGGTTCGAAACCTTTGCTGTCGTGGAGAACGAACCTGTCGTTGTGCGGTGAGGTAAACTGTGTGTCGATGTTGGCCTTGCCTCGCTGATCGTGCGCAACGGTCTATTGACAATATGAGTACCTGTGCTCGTTGAAGCGTTACATTCAACCCACCGTGTCTGTGCCTACTCCAAAAACGTGGTCAATCAGTGATGACTTTCCAACGCCACCCTATTAAAGTCACGTCGTCAGCACTGGCCTGAGATCGGATAAACCAGATACCTTTCCTATCACCAGAATCCGGAATCTTGGGAGCGTCAACCTCAAGAATGGCACGTTATGATCATCCTGACTCACCGAGGACAGCGCTCAAACATTCCGGAAGTGGTAGGGAGGGGGAGGAGCTTCATCTACGAGTTAGACAGTTTCGGTGCCAAACGTGGATCCTTACTTCAGTTGAAGTATTCTCGGAAAGGTCGACGATGATTCTAATTTTTCCGTGCCACTTTACGTATGCTACAGATGTGAGGTTGTGTGAGTGAGTGATTTAGGCGAGAGTGCAATTATTGTTTCACCTTGTCCTTCGCTTGCGCTATACGCACGGAATATGTCATCTAGGTCGATACGAATGACTTCAGGCTTGAGTTCGGTTTTAAAATGTTCCTTGTACCATATGCGTAAGAGAAACGCATCCGGATAAGAAAGCATTCTGAGGGAAAAAGACACAGAAGCAACTCAAGTGAGTTGAACATGTGTTAGGGTCGAGTACTTGAAAGTTACATGGTCTCAGAAAATGTCTCTCGCCAACTCCTTCCTGCTCGGCGTCTAATTGGTGAACGGAAATCATTGCCAATGCATATTTCAGCAAATTCTATATCCGTTCTCGACTCGCTGAAATCGATGTTGATACCTGTTGGATATATTCAGCGGGGCTACATGATGACAAGAATTGAGTGACCAAAAATGCGGCACGAAAGGGAAGTTGTAGCATTAGCCATGCTGATGTGATCTACCGGGAAGAGTTCGGCTCTGAGCACCTCGTTGATTATAAGATAGAAAACACGGTATAACCTTGCGATAAGCGATAAGAGAATACCGCAAGTTACGAGCTGTCCTGGGGCCTTCGGTTCCCAATGCCCATGTGGAGCATAACATAATGACGAGACCTCGAAAACTTAAACTTGGTCGCACCACACATCGGGGTGAACGATATTTAAAAGAGGTTTATATGTTGTACAAAATGTGAAGACAATATTTAATATTTAAACTAACATAAAGATGGGTGCACGACTTCAAATTTTGGTGGTGTTTTGTGTGTAATCCAAAATATCAAATATTCACAACCATATTCCCACAGACAATATGTCAACAAACATAAGAAATATAGTCAGATTTTTCATGTCTGCTTCAACTTAAAGTTCAATTTCCATGTAAAACTTTGGAGAAAACTTGAAGTTTTACAGATGACATGACATTAAAACTCGATTTAAATGTCAAGCTTTGGCAAAACTTCAAGTTTTCTCCAAAGTTTTATGTAAGAATCAAACTTTAAATTGAAGCAGACATGGAAAATCTGATTATATTTATTATATTTGTTGACATATTGTCTGTGGGAATATGCTTGTGAATATTTGATATTTTGGATGACACACAAAACACCACCAAAATTTGAAGTCGTGCACCCATCTTTATGTCAGTTTAAATATTAAATATTGTCTTCACATTTTGTACAACATATAAACCTCTTTTAAATATCGTTCACCCCGATGTGCCAGCAACTTGTTTCTGCTGCTCAATAACGCCAACGATCATTCGTCTACACGAAAGGCGTCACCTAAACTCAACGTTCTTCATTTCCCATCTTTTTGCGGCAATCCTTCTTAAGTGGTTAGAGTGACGAATTTCTTTGTATTGCTAAATCACATTCTGCTTTGAATAAACTTTCCGTCATTTTCCTGGTGCGACTGGGCAAAAGCAGGAAGTGGCAGGAGGGCCTCGGCTTTGGCGTGGGGGTCGAAAACAGCGCGACGTTTCAAGGCTTCATGAAATTGGGTCGGGGGTTAGTTCAACTTAGTTGTGGTAACCTGGTAGGGTAGCGGGAGACTGCAGGCTGGGCGTGGTGGGCAGTAATAGACGCGCGATGGGTGCCACTACTTGACCTTATGGTGCTAGAGGTCTTGACCTCTGCTGTAAGTGAGGTGACGCCCGTTTGCTGTTTTCAGGAGCTTGAGGGAGCCAAAGTACTTCGGAAGGGTACGATTTTGGCCTAGTGAGTGTACGAGATGTGACTAATTTCAAATAGGGATGCCTCATGGTACACAGCAAGCCCATTGCCCATTGCCCCACTGATTCTACTATTCTAGATAGGCTTCGGGTTGCGCATTTGCCGGGTTCACACACTGCAATGATTATAAGGCTACACAAACGCTTCTCCTTCAGTCACATTTACCTTCCCCAATGGATTCTTCAAAGATAAGAGAGAAAATCGGTCGCTTTCGAATCCTCGTCATAGGAAGAGCGAACGCAGGAAAAACCACCATCCTGCAGAGAATTTGCAACACACAAGACAAACCAAAAATATACGACAGCGCTGGGGAAGAGGTAGGCCCATCACATTGTTAGTGGGAGGATGGCAGTGACCCATCGACATCAGATCGATCTCACAGTTCTAACGGCATCCAAAGAGGTATTAAGGTGTCCTCTTACTTGATGACATGAACTGATGTGTTCTCAGCGTGGAGAGCACGAAATTGAAAACGAAATGGTGTTTGAAAGTAACCCGGGCTTTGTGTTTCACGATTCACGCGGTTTCGAGGCCGGCGGCAAAGACGAATTCGACAAGGTCAAAGCTTTCATCACTGACCGTTTGACACAAGCCAAAATCGCAAAACGACTCCATGTTATCTGGTAATTGCAACTGATCAATCAAGACAAGCGCTATCTCACGGTTTCAACTTAGGTTTTGTATCCCAATGGACGAGGCTTGCAGGTCGTTCACTGCAGGCGAAGAAAAGTTTTTCACCGAATGCGACACTGCAAGCAGTAAGCTTTGCATCCCACCCTCATCGACGTTCGACTGATGCGCAGAATCACAATCCTCAGTACCAGTGATCGTATTATTTACAAAGTTTGATGCGCTATATGGCGTCGAATTTCGAAAGCTGATGAATACAGGAACTTCGCGGAAAGACGCTAAACAACAGGCCCCGAAATGCGCCGAGGAAACATTCGCACTTGGTCCACAGTTGAGGTTTCTCCAGGGTGTCCGGTGGCCTCCAAAATGCCACGTATGCCTTCCAAGTAAGCCGGTTTATGGCCTAGTTGCGATACACGATGATCATTGTTCCATCAGATATGAACAAAGATGATGCAGATTGCAGCGCACTGATCAAACAGACGGCTGCAGCTTTGGATGACGAAGCACTCGAGCAATTATTCGTCTCCACCCAGCAGACCAATCTAGAGATCTGCATGAAATATGCGATTCAGAGGTAACTATCCATGGTTTCATTTACATGTCACAAGCGATAGCGACTGATATTGTCCAGAACACTCCCAAAACATCTCAAGTCCACAGAAACAACAACATCCGAGAGTCATCAGAAGATGATAATGATGTTAAGCTGCTGGTTTCCGCATATTTGGGTAAGATTATTGGAAAATTCAAAAGTTGCTCTAATTTACATTGGGCGTTGACTTACAGCCAGTACGTCTGTCAATCCTTATTCAAAAGCCGTGCTGATCCAAGTCGTTGCCCGCCGTTCGCAGGAAGTGAGTGTGTCGATCCTCGTTCGAGCAACAGCCGTGCTGATCCAAGTCGTTGCCCGCCGTTCGCAGGAAGTGAGTGTGTCGATCCTCGTTCGAGCAACAGCCGTGCTGATCCAAGTCGTTGCCCGCCGTTCGCAGTACGTGAGTGTGTCGATCCTCGTTCGAGCAACAGCCGTGCTGATCCAAGTCGTTGCCCGCCGTTCGCAGAGAGTGAGTGTGTCGATCCTCGTTCGAGCAACAGCCGTGCTGATCCAAGTCGTTGCCCGCCGTTCGCAGGAAGTGAGTGTGTCGATCCTCGTTCGAGCAACAGCCGTGCTGATCCAAGTCGTTGCCCGCCGTTCGCAGGAAGTGAGTGTGTCGATCCTCGTTCGAGCAACAGCCGTGCTGATCCAAGTCGTTGCCCGCCGTTCGCAGAGAGTGAGTGTGTCGATCCTCGTTCGAGCAACAGCCGTGCTGATCCAAGTCGTTGCCCGCCGTTCGCAGTTCGTGAGTGTGTCGATCCTCGTTCGAGCAACAGCCGTGCTGATCCAAGTCGTTGCCCGCCGTTCGCAGGAAGTGAGTGTGTCGATCCTCGTTCGAGCAACAGCCGTGCTGATCCAAGTCGTTGCCCGCCGTTCGCAGTTGGTGAGTGTGTCGATCCTCGTTCGAGCAGCAGCCGCGCTGATACATCAATAGGAAACATTTAACGACCATGACTGTGTAGAGATACAGTCCAAGTTACTCCCTGTGGTATGTCCAGTTGCTCACAGATTGCACATATTTTCATGTGGCGAATTTGCCAGGCCCCTGGCTTATCATCCCTGGACAACTTTGTTCAGCTCATTTCAGGTGAACTTTGAGGCTACGCCGGGGTTAACCTGCTTATGATTGACCACTTAGCTGTTGTCATTATTTTCGAACGCTCTTTCTACATATACGACGAGCGGCGCAATCTTCAGGACAAGCGGCAGTCTGGTCCCTCTTTTCATGTCGCTCTGGAGCAGTACATACTATCTCTGCATGCAGCTGCTGTCAGGAAATGTGCGAGCGATGCTGTCCAGGCTTATAAAAAGGCTGTGGCTACTGCTCTGAAGGAGAATGCAGAAGTGGAGTTGATCGAGGACGTTCTTAAAATTGCTTTAGATCATCGCCTGTGTATGTTTCACCGTCATGTTGTGGCAGTGATCCCGCTGATCTGCTCGTCTTCAGCAAGACCTTGACGCTAGGCAATGCCACGCGATGTGGATGGTGCTCCGAAGTGGAGCTCAGTGACGTGTCTAGCAGTCGATGTACGTTTCTTGAGTGGTCCATTGAGGTAGTTTCAGGAGGTGGAACTGTATGAAATGCTTGTATGATCAGACAATATGGTGCTTTTTACGGCATGGTGTGCGTGTTTGAAGCATGTGGGTCACCCTCAGCTGAGATGGTGGTGAGATTTACTGGGTTTGATGTATCTCCAGAGTCTTTTTGGTCCGATCCAAATACATCGGGTTCGGGTACGTTCTATGTACCATTCTGCTCCACAGCCTATCTCGACTTGCGCTAATATTTTTAAACGCAATACTGTTTTGTCCATCCTTGGCACCACTTGGAAGAAGTACCAAAGGCCTTTCAGAGCAGGTTTCGTTGTAGGTAGTAACCTGCCTGAAAGCTCGCCTCCACAGGCCCCAGGGAGGCTTCCCCTTACATCCTATTCAGAACTGAGCTACCCACTAACAAGATCGGGCGTGCAACTCATATTGAATTTAGTAGCTTGTTATAGTATACTCAAGAACAAATTTAATCTAGCCAAGCCGTGCCGTATCATGAAGTCCATATCATCTTGAGAAACCTAACAAGTATACAGGCCTCTACTATGGAAATAGAAGCGAATAACTACACCATATGGCCATGACTCAGTACTCAGTACCCAACCCATGTCACTGCAATATACTGGTTTGTCGACATTCTACACCGAATTAGCTGAAATCCCCCTTCCTGTGTCCACTGATTTCATTGGTGATAGTTGAGTTGCGATGAAGGTGTCGACGAGACCATTACTCTGTGCGAATGCAGTTACATGTGTCTGCAGGAGGCCTATAAATTTGTCTCGTTACCGAGTGTAGCTCGACCCTCTTGCTGTAGAGAATTTTAGGCTGGCATCGTGGCATCCCACTCAAGGCTTTCCATATCGCATGGAAATCACTTTGAACTGGGTTGCTGAAGCTGAGAGTCATCAACATGACTCTGCCCTTGAGTATGCTCGGAACTTTTCGACGACCATGTGGTGACGCGATCGTCAATCATTTCACGGCGCGAGGCTGCGACTGTTTTTGGCGGTGCATGCTCACCGCCAGTAGATGTAGCGTCATGTGCCACATGTCATGGAAATCTACGACAGGCAGTCGAGTTCATAGAACAGGGCAGTGGTCGCTAGCCTCTCGGCTCAAGACTCTAGTCGAAGACTTCGAGTCAGCCAATCCGAAACTGGCGGACAATTATTTGGGTGAGTTTCTAATGCCGCCTAGAGTTCTGCAACCGTTACCGACAGAGCTGCTGCTGATCGGGCAGCAACAGAGCACAGCGTATAGGAGACTTACAAGGCAATGTCCGTACAAACATGCGCACCCGTTGAAGTCGGTTGCTTCGTCCATCCTGGATGGCAGCTTTGACTTGTAGTCCATCCGTGCACCCCCCGCGAGAAAGTCGCAAAAAAAAGATACATATTCACAGCTAGGCTGAAGAAATCCAATGACATCAACGAAACTGTATCTGTCACTAAAGCGTAAGGCTATAGTCATATTCGGTCTGCGCACTCTGTGCAATCCAAAGCACAACCGCCGACAGCATCAACGCCACGTTCTGCGAAACGTTCGCATAGCCGTAGTAAGTATACTGCTCTGGGTAGTCCATCATGATGTATTTCAGCACGAGAAGAGACTAGAAGGGATATTGAACATCGGATAACAAAAAAAAAGACATCGAGGCTTACCACGCTCCCCGCCAGTCCGCCAGCCATGAAAGCAAATCCGATGAAAAGGAAAAGGCGTGCCCTCCATACAGCGTTAGAGTCTCCATAATCATCCCCTCTAATCCTATCCTTGTCGATCAAGTTGATGATGACCATGCCAAGGAGCGAGCAGATACCCGGCACCCAATCAGCGAACTGCACATGCACGGGAGGCGGGATTTGGGGTTCATCATAAGGCGGGTGAGCATGCGCAGACAAGATGGCAGCATCGAGGAAAGTCCAGTTTGCAAGCGCGAACTGCGGAAAGGACATGCAGTTAGCGTCAGCAAGGGAGATACAAGAAGCGCACGGACCAAAGCGCCCGCGAGGTAAATGCCAATAGTCCGGCGATGCTTTCCCAAGTTCAAGTTGAGGTCTGGAAATGGGTTTAGACACACCCTGCGGGGGTCATAGTCTGAGCGAGGGAGAGACATCATGGGGTGATGGGGACAAGTTTGCTGTTGCGCTGCCTGCTGGTCACAGGCGGTCATCGGATGCGTGGGAAATCACTTGTAGGACACACATATTCGATCAGTGTTGGAAACGCGCATCATATATTCGATTCTTATTCAAATGTTCTTGCTATAGCAGCGCCGTATCGACGCTCCTCAACTAAGTGGACAGTGAATGGAGTCTGCCATGTAGATCTTAGTGTTTGGTATTTCACCGACCCTTTGTATATTTTAGGGTTAGGGTCAAAACGTTTCTGACTCGGAGGAAACCGTCTCCGTGGACACCTCATGTATGCACCATGCACTACCTTGACCTCTCCGCAAAAGCTCCAGAGTGAAACGTTCATGAGATTCACTCGTCTACTCTTCCTTCCTACCACAGTAACGACATCGCATTCTAAAAGCTTTCATTCACCACACGTCAACGGTACTGGTCTCCAAAGACTGCATGAAATCTGCTGTGCAACTCGGTAGGTACAACCGTAATAATCTTTAAAGTTACAACAACGGGGTATCTTCGTGAAGTGCGAGGCAGTGTGAATGGGGGTACGTAAATCGTCAAAAGTGGGGCATACTGAGTGAGGGGGATGTGGTAGCGCACGAAGGGTATTGTGCGTGGAACGATGTGAGTATGCACATAAAACCTATGTATAATTACAGCTAATTCAACAACATTGTATCCACAAAAACCAAGATCTAGCACGGAGGAAAAGGTGAGCGCGGTGGATGTGGATGTGATGAAGGGATGATTTTACAGGTGTCCTATGAAATAAAAGTCCAAGACCGATGACGCCCGCATACATCGGTTAAGAGATCAGAATCCGGCAGGTGCCACAAGCATGTTTTCAAAGTTGAACAGCTGCTCAAACGTGTCGTGCCCTTGCGCCTCGAGTGGATATTGGTGCACCTCCATCGACGATGCGTCAAAGGAGCCAGGCGCAAAGTCAATGTTGAATGCCGACGGGTGCTGGCTCATGGACGCCAACTCTCCTCCGCATCCTGGCATACCGAGCTGAATTGGAGGAATAGCACTCAAGTCAAACTCGTCTCCAGCAAGAAGGTCACTGTGACTTTCCCATGCGCCCTGTCCTTCCCAAGAATACTCGGGATACCCGAAGTGCACGTTATCCAGAGGGGATCCAGACATGGGCGAGTCTAGTTCTCCATCATTCATGCAGGACGCTAGATCCTCATGGTACGAGAATGAGGGAGGCATGCAGTTTATGGGCGTATATGGGCCGGAATGCGGGCCGGATGAAGCGGACGCTATTGACGATACTGGAGAAACCATTTGTTGACTGGCTTGC